AGAACGGAAAACCTACTACGATGCGTCCTCATTGCTTCCTCGCACTCCTTACTCTGCTTACTCTTCTTGCCGCGGTGCCCGCAACGAGGAAAGTGAGTGCCCTGTGGAAGGAAATTAAAGACCTCAAGGATCCATATGTGATAAGCATCGCAGAGTGGGGGGTCTCAGAATACAACAAGAATGTCACAGGCACAAACAAGCTAGGGTTTCAAAGTGTGACTTGGGGGGTAAGCGCGTATATTTCAGGCACGGTTTATGAACTGGTCATTGCGGCAAAAAATCAGTCGTTAACTATCCCGCCAGAAGAGTATAAACTCACTGTATGGGACCAATTTCTAACCAGGCGTTTCATGGGCTTAATAAAAGATGATGGCAATTATGTTTAGTATTTCAAAGTTAGGGTTTAGTGTCTGTTAATTTCAATAACTCTCGCCTTTGGTTTATAATAAAGAGACTATTCCGAATGCAGAATAAAAGTTCGCCCATACTTTGTTGTGCCTTATATTTTATTTGTGCATACGTAAAGACGTCTTTACTATAAAACAATTCATATGTGTTCTTCATGCCTTGCGCGTGCAAAAGTTCTCTTGTACATCATGCGCCTTATGCTCGACATACAAAGTTTTATTAATCATAGGCGCTATGTGCCCCTAAAATCTTTTAAATTAATATACGAAGTTTAATTGTAATCTTGCTCGAAGTCCCTCTATTTTTTACTTTAGATTATATTTCTCTACTGATTTCTTCCTTTGTTAGGCTTCTATCTATCATGGGCGTTGCGCAGCCCTAGAATCTATACGATGTTTATTTGTAATCTTGCTCCAACTTCCTCTATTTTTTACTTTAGATTAATCTATAATTTGTAATTTCTCTATTGATTTCTTCTTTTATTTTCTACTGGTAGCATTTTTTTCTCATTGTTTTCCTCTCACATTATATTCTACATGTAAAAACATAATTAAAATCATTAAAACAATGGTAGAACGCCAGTCATAGGTCTTTTGTACCTATTAAAACTAATAATGATACAAACCAAATCAAATAGTGTGTAAAGAAAAGAAAAAACCACCGCAATCAAATACATTGAACAACAAAATTACATGAAAAGCTAGCATATAAAAAATAAAGAAAACTAATGACTTTATTTAATGATAAGGACAAGAGAAAAAAAAACACTTATCAAACGCTGTGCAGTCTCCTTTGCCGCTGCACCTTCTGGCTACTTCTTTTTCCAGGGGGTTCAAAAATTGCCTTGCCCGAAGCAACTCCAATCATGGCTGCTCCAATATCTATTTTACAGCACACACCTCTATATATTTGTACTATATATATACATACACACCCTATTACATACTATATATTATGGACATATGAAGCACTGAAGAGTACCTTGTACAACTCTATTTACCAAGCCACTACCTTTTATACCTATAATTTTGATTTACATGATGCACCATTGAGACAAATGCAAAGTTCCCAATAATTTCCATCCATGAAACTGCCGGTGCTATGAGATGCTTTGGAAATTGTATGGTAACCAAAATTCAGAGTGTTTAAGTCCACACAGATATTGAAATGATTAAAGACTTGAGATGCTTCTAAAATTGAAGGACATGAAGTGGGGGTACGATCTTGGCTCATGTCCATATGTGTATTCGATGGTATTGATTCGTTTGCATTATTTTTTAAATTTGTAGGGGGAGAAGGTTAGATTGTAGGTGGAGGAGAAGAGGAAGCCGCATATGGGCGAACAATACAAGAAAATTAAGTAATTAATGTAGAAAGTTAAGAAATTGAAGAGATACAGAGAAAATTTGATGAGTATCGAAGAAAATTAGAAGAAGAAAATGTGTTTGGAAGGTGAGAATATGCCAAGAAAATTCAAGAAGAGGAGAGAGAATACTGTAGTACCGTTAAGTTTCATAAACAGTGTAGTACTGTTAAATTTCATAAACAATGTAGCACCGTTAAGTTTCATAAACAGTGCATTACCATTAAGTTTCATAAACAGTGTAGTACTGTTAAATTTCATAAACAATGTAGCACCGTTAAGTTTCATAAACAGTGCAGTACCATTAAGTTTCATAAACAGTGCAGTAAGTTTCATAAACAGTGTAGTATTGTTAAGTTTCATAAACGGTGCAGAAAGTTTCATAAACAGTTTGAAGACGCAAGGTTCCACACATCAGTTTTTTTTTTTTTTTTAATTTAAAACTAAAATTATGTCGTTTTCATTAAAATTTAAGTTCTTTTGTCATTTTTATTGAAATTTAAGAGTTTTTAATTAAAATTTAAGTCTTTTCCATTAAATAAAGTTATAGCATAATTTTTTTTTTTAAAATAAACTTAGTCCAAGCCTTTTTCATGAAAGTTCTTTAAAAAAATAAAATACATCAACCAACGAACAAAGGCTCATATTGTTTGTAATAAAAGTCATCAAGATGCTTTAGTGCATTTCGTATCCTGTTTTGCCGCTTCAGTCTTTGGCCAATTAATGGTCCCTCATCATCTTTTTCTATGGAATTCCACTCCGGATTCCTTCCTCCTAATCCACCAAATCAGGAAATACAAGTCATTAAAATTTGATCCAACGGCTGAAGCTATTATAACTTTTAAAGTGGGCCCCTGTTTGTAGCCATTGGATCAAAATTTAACAGCATAGATTCCCTGCTTTTATGAATTAGGAGGAAGGGATCTGGAGATGATCCATTTCCTTTTTCTCTTGACTACTATCCTCATCATCTTTGTTGTTGGGTTTTGTTTCAAGCATTAATTGACGGTTAATTTTTTATAGGAAGGTTAATTTGTGAGCTTAATTACTTCCATAATCAAACTACAAATTCTTTTCAAATATAATTACATACATAAGGGATAATTACACTACATTCTCTGAGGTTATCAAGTTTTCACAAAACCCCCTCAGATTTAAGACATTATACTAACATCCCCTTTTTAATTCACTTTCAAATAACCCTTTCAGTCAAAGTTTTACTAATAAATTGACAACTTTACCCTTATAACTAATTAAATAAATAAAAATATATTAGAAAAAAAATTAAAAATAAATTAAACATTGAAAAAATAAATTAAACATTAAAAGAATAAATTAAAAACTTAAAAATAGAAAAGGAAAAAAAAGAGTAAACCTAAACCCCTTCCCCAATTCCACTCCCCGCCATTTTCTTTTCTCGTCGTCCCACCATTGCCACCTTCATCCTTTTCCTCTCCCTGGCCCCACCCTCACTACTCACTACCTTGCCACTGCTTTAACAATTTTGTAGGCCAAAGCCATCCATGGCTTCTTCAATCTCTCTCTCATTCTCTTCCTCTCTCAACCCGCATCTTCTTCCTCTCAACAAAAACTCTACTAGAAGAAAGGCGAGTTCCCTAGCGTCTCAGATACATCAACTCCGGCGACTTACATAAAAACCTACAATCCTTCCACTTTATCTCCGCTCGTTCCGATTTTAAAAACGGAAGAATAAGGTGGATCAGAAGAACAATGCCAAGGCCTAGGTCAACACTATCACTGAGGCCCTATCCGACACCATTGAGAAGAAGTAGTGTCTCTATGCTCTTGAGGTTTTTGCCCTTAAATTTTCATCCTTGTCTGAATAATCTGACTGATGAGGCATTTTATGTTCTTAACCTGATGAAGACCCTTCCGCAATGTCAGGTTGATGTTTTTACCAATAGTAATTCGATAGAGATTTGCATTTGATTTATTTCCTTTTAATTTATTTTTTAATGTTTAATTTATTTATTTTTAATATTTTCTTTTTCTAATATATTTCTTTATTATTTAATTAACTGGTTACAAGGATAAAGTTGTCCATTTATTAGTAAAATTTTAACTGAAGGGGTCATGTGAAAATGAATTAAAACGTGAGGGGATGTTAGTGTAATGTCTCAAATGTGAGGGGGTTTTGTGAAAACTTGATAAACCTCAGAGGATGTTATTGTAATTAACCCTAATAATAATGTGACGAATATATGTAATGGTTTATTATAAAAATATTACTTAATTAGAATTTAACGCCCATATTCTGCGGGCATGATGAAGCCAAAATTGGAGGGTTGTGTGTGAGAAAACGTTAGAAGAGTTGTGGCATATGTTGTAAATTATCTGAAGTAATAGGCCATTTAATTTCTAATGTAGCTACATATTTGAATTTTGGGTTTATATTGGATGTTTAAAGATAGGTGGGTCTAAAAATTACGAGTTGTATGAGCCTATATCTAAAGAACCCTTGAATAATTTAAATTAGGATAGGTTAGAATTGAAAGGGAGGGAGAAGGATAGAAGTGGAGGTGGAGGTGGCGGTGGACCAGTGGGAGCAGAGGTCTATTTAGGGTTTAGTTGCAGCCAAATATGAGAGCGGAGATTTGCCAAACATCAAATTTGATTCAAAGTGGGGGAGTTTACTAATGGCAACTGCAGATAGTTTTCTCTACTCCTCTTCCCTACGTTGGTTTTTTATTTTGAGTTTGATCAGCACATTCCCCCTTTTTATATGTTTTTTATCTTTTATTTCTCAATAAACAAATTTAATTATTTTCTAACAAAATTGCCCCAGCGTTTTTTTATGTATCAAATTCGATCAGTTTTACATTTTTTTTGTTTGAGGGGTGTTTTAGTCTTGATATTGATGAATTCTTGAGACACCAAATTAGTTTTCTGGGTTTCTAATATTATAGATTAGAGATTAGATATTAGAGATTCGAGATTAGAAATTAGAGATGTTTTTCCCACCATTTATCAATATGGCCATATTAATCTCTTATCTTAATATCGGCATATATATTTACATTAAGGTTTGTTTAAACTCACCCTATAAAATCTTACACAACTTTGAAAAAAAAAAAAAAAAAAAAAAAAAAAAAGGGGTATAAGGTTTGATAATTGGGTTTAGAGATAAAATTATGGGTTTAGATAAAATATTTTCTTTTATTCTTATTACAAAGTTAAGATTTCTCGTTCATCCAGGATAAAAATTTAACTAACACATTTCTGCGGTGAACGAAAATTTAGATTCCGGAACATCAATTAGAAACCTATTATTGTACTGTTGGAATGCTCCCAAAATGCTTGATGCTCCAAATATCTCCGCCGACCTTATTATCATCATGCAGAACTCCTGCAAGTCCTCATCAGCTCTAAAAGTAGTGGCCTCGTTGAGCTTGAGGTCGGCTCTATCCAGGTGGAAGATCACTTCTGGAGCAACAAACTTTAACCCTCTGCGCTTCTTTGTCCTCAACACGTCTACCATGCTGTAGCAGAGCTCCAAACCAGACCGCGTTTTGTTTAGCGGTTTCATTGAGTAGTTCTCAGTAAAATAAGATTTCATTGCTTGGTGTATCAGTGTGTACACCTCGGAAGCAAAGAGAGAATATTCTGTGCCAGTATCGACGACCACCCCGCTATTGCCCCACGCCTTAAGCATTCTGGGGTCTGTTGGGAGACGGGATCCATTTAAACTAATCCCCGTCATGTTTATGTAGTAGAAGTCAGAGGAGGATTCCAGAAGCGGAGTGGTTTGAATGTCCGAGCCCGTAAGTTGTGCGTCTTCACCGAAGCGTAATGAGGACACGGCTCCGACCCTGTACGGGATGCAGTAAGAGAATCTTTTAAGGGTCATCGAACTCAGTTGGAGCAAGAAACTGGAGGGATGGTCTATCCCTAGTCCTAATATTCCGGATATCTCGTTGGGGTGAACCGCGTCGCCAGGAAGATCAATGCGGTTGATTACACCGCATCCAAAAGCAACGCCCTGAATTTGAGTTGGTTGATCAGCAGTACTTGAAGTAGTGACGGTCGTCAACATGTCCAGACCGAAGGTGCCGATTGTAACCTGGTTAGCGGCATACTCACTTTCGTACGAGCAGAAGTTCCCGGAGGGATGGAGCCAGATAGGGACACAGATCGGGTGGTCGAAAGGCATGAATTGGAAAGTCATGGACCTGTTGGGATCAAACTGGACGGAGGATACCGGAAAACAGTCCGTGCAGTGGGCAGACTGGACCCACATAGGACTGCTCGCAGTGTCGACCACCAAGTTCAATTTGACCGGTGGGGTTCCGACTAGGAGCTCGACGTAAAATACGCCGAAAAATGACTTTCTGGCACTCCAAGGGTGGCTGCTAGTGCTAGCTAATGCAGACATTTGGGTGGTAGTGTTCGGACGAAAAGGGAGTTTTTTCAGGGTTAGGGTTATGCCCTTACCTTGGGCTTGGGGGGCGCCAAAAACAAATATGAAGAGGATCAGACACAGAATTTTGATGGCCATTGTTGTGTTACAAATTTCAATTCTCAGATTGTACTGATTAATTAAGTGTTAGTATTGCAGGTATTGCCGGTATTTATAGCAGTTAAAAGTTACTGTGTTGTAATTAGTTTAGCCTTTAGTTAATGGGATGTGCTATCCACACATCTCATTTTACTTCTCACAGACCCCTTAATAATTTATATTCGTTGATCTTCTTCAATTCATTCGATTCGACGGCCGAAAATTAAAAAGATGTGTGAGAAGTAAAATGAGGTGTGTGGATATCACACCCCTAGTTAATTTGATTTGGCCTTTTCACTACTTTTTCATTGGCAAAAAAAGTTTTATTAATAAGTAATTTTGATTAGTAACGATTGATATATGCGTACGTCTTTTGTGTACACGCAATAAAATTACTATATATAAAATATGTCATTGGTTTGATATTCTAAGCAAGGATTATCCAAAATAGCTTGTTCACATGAATGGTTCTACCCCTATCGATCAATCCTCTATTTTCCCGTTTAAATTAAAGCATTAAAGGTTTTGGAGTTTATGTATTCATAGCTTGCTAGTTATGACCGATAATATAAAGATTCATGCATCTTTGGATATTTTTTGTGGGACACATCGATATGACTATGTAAAAGAACATTATTTGATGTGTATTTAACAATCCACTATTATCTATGCGGGAGAAGTTGAATTTTTTATGTGTCTTTCTGGCCATCAAAATGGTAGATTATCATGAATTAGCCACCAACTTTGACGCGTATTTGACAATCCACTATCATCGTTATATTACTTTCTTATCCATAAAATTGCCATTAGTGTGAAAACATTTCAGACGCATGCAGTATTCATTTTTTTAAGCTATTGCCTTCTGCATAATTATCTTTCTTTTTGGAATATTTACAAGCGTAGCAGTCAGTCCATGTGTGTGTGATGTGTCAAATACTTGCTAGGCATGCTAATTTGTATGTAAGAGACTTATAATTAACATGTTACTAGATGTCATTAGCATGAAAGAAAAAAAGAAATATATGTTCTATATATGTATGAGAGAAAAATAATCATGCAACTTCGAATGTATTTGGTGTGTCACACATTGAAATTACAATGTAAATTAAGAAGATTAATGATTTTTTTTTTCTTTTTTTGATAGAAACAATATGATTTTCATTTAGAGAGCTCAGGAATCTGCGGTTAAAAAGTTACACGTCCAAGCAGAGGACTATCCCCATATTCAAAATTACAAACAATCCTCAAAGAGGAGGTCATAATAAAAGAGGAGGGCAGTTGATCCACTCGCAATGATCCCTAGTACTCAGGCTGAAACGGGCGAGACGATGGGCAACTGCGTTGGCTTGGCGGCGGACATGGATACATACTTCTTCAATGACTGTGGGGAGTCATACCTTGGCATCTTCCACAAAATGCCCAATGCTCGACAAATTGATGGAAGGGTCCGAGAGGACACCAACAAGCTGAAGAGAATCACTTTCAATAATCAAATTACTAAAACCCCTAAACACCGTCCAAACCACACTGTCCCTATCTAATCTTTTAATGTTCTACGTCCGTAAGTTGTATTAATTTTGGCATATTAATTTTGGCATTACTTAATTATATTATAAATAGGGTGTATGTACATATATAGGGCGTTACTTTTTTTAGTCCATAGTTTTGCCATTGTTGCACGTGAACAACCAACATGAAAAATCATATGCAGTACTCATTCCTTTCTTTTAGCTATTGCCTTTTGTTACGATTCTCTTTCTTTTTGGAGTATTTACATGTGTATATGTGTTAATTGGTTTGTAGGCATATGCTAATTTGTTGTAAAAGAAGAGAGAGCCTAATTTCTATGCTAAATTAAATAATTAATTAAAGCTGGCATTTACTTAATCTATAGTAGTATATACTTACATCAGATTAAACAATTAAGGTATTGCTTAATCCCATAATATTTCCACCATTGCATTCCATGTGAAAACAAACTCATTAAATTAAGATGCACTATTCTCATTAAGTTTCATTGCTTAATCCCATAATATTTCCACTACTCCATGTGAAAACAACCCATTTAATTTAAGATGCAACATTATTCTCATTAAGTTTCACACGATAGTGATCAGAAGGAGGCTAACATGTCTCTGTGAGTTTTTCCAGCCTTCAAAAATGTGGATTGCCCTGACAAGTTCACTAGCTGGTCCCTTTTTAAAAAAGAACAATGTTTCATTGCTTGATCCCATAATATTTCCATCATTACATTGCATGTGAAAACAACCCACTAATTTAAGATGCATTCTCATTAAGTTTCTAATTCAATCAAGTTTTGCCAGGTGATTTGCAATTGCAAATGGGATCCAAGTAATGAACTCGATCATATGATGATTGAATTCATTCCTTTCACTAGCATATCTACATTAATATTATAGATATTGTTCTCTATTGCTAGCTACAACTAAAAGGTCTTGAATCAAATGCTATCACGTATGTGCATGTACCGATATACGTAGCAGTAACTTTCATCGACCCATGTATTCATGCATGCTTTATAGCCTTTCACCTAGATATAGAATTTGCCTGGCTGGAATTTCCACCGGCCACCATGTGAACGTCGACCCAAGTAAGCCATCAAGTATGCGCGCGCACACACATATATATAGACTCTTTAAGGAGAGGGATCCTATTTTAACCAAAAAAAATGGGGATGATGCGCTTAGCCATTGGATCTCTTTTAATGAGATCGTGCGGCTGCAATTTAACATGCCTTTTTCCTTTGTTTCTTTCAACAGGATAAAGAATGGCTTAGAGAACGAGGGATTTTTCAATGTAATTGAAACACATCACGTGTCACTACGTACAGGTAGAATATGTGTGTTAAAAAATTAATAGCTTAAAAAATAAAATTTTCTATCTCTTATATAAAAGCACGTGGTGTACCACCTGTGTGCCGATCATAATAAAAAATTTCTCCCAGAGAACAAGGAGGCTGAAATCTGCTTGCCTTCACGAAGGAGAAGACTGAGTCAGCTCCAACCAGAGCTCGATCCGTGTTTCGTTTTTTGGGGTTTTAAATTTCATATTTGGAGAATAACTAGACTTTGAAAAGAAGAAAAAATCCCAAATTCTTGAACCCAATCTCCGAAACTGGAAACTGGAATTAAAAAGAAAAAAAAAACAGGAAAAGGAATTATGGAAACCAAGGAAGAGGACACTCAAACTGAATCCATTCTCCATAAAATGGAACTGGAGAAAACAAAAACCCCAATCCTTGAACCCATTTCTCCATAAAACTATATAGAAAAAGAAAACTCAAATCATTTGACCCCTTTATCAAATTGCCCAAAAAGATCTCTGAATTTGAAAGACAAGGATTTCCTATTCAACTTGTTCGTGGTTGGGATTCGATTGACTGCGCAAGTGAACTCTCTAGCAGGTCGAGGCCAGGCCAGATGGAACCGATCGATCGAGAGAAAATATATCTTGGACCTAGTCGATCTTTGAGTTCCTCATGGTTGTTTTCATATGCAATGAAGATATTTTTCACCAAACCCTAATTTTTCATTTTCTATCACGAGGTCAGTGAAATTGAGTTTGTTTCTCTTAACATCCATGAATTATTAGAGCTTCCATATTATGTACATGCACGCATTGCATGGGTACCAAAGCTGTTTTCAGTCAATTAATGGTGATTGACTACTTAGTACTTTATTAGAGCTAATAAAATATAATTATAAAAACATAAAAGGTGAATTACAATTTACACTCTTTAAGATTGGGTGCAAGTGTAACCTTGTACAAAATTTTAAATATTTTAATTTTATACATTTACTTATCATTTTTAGCAATTTCTTACATCCGTTAATCAAACCGTTAATTTTGATCGTGAAGTAACGACATGGCAAATGTGAGGTTAACATTTTTGTTGAAGTGGATACTAACTATGATCCATGTGGAATAAAAGCAAATAAAAAAGATTGATTAATTAAAAATCGATTTCTTTTTGTATAATTAAAACTTAAAAATACAAAAGAAAGAAAAATATGACTAGATTCAGTGCAAACCATTACACGATGCTCTAATTATTCAGGCAATTTAATCGCATATATGAACTTTGTATATTTGACATCTCACATTCATTTTACATACACAGTCCTTATCTATGACATTGTTTTATTTGGAATGTTATAAATTTTAATAAAAGCAAAGTCCATCCTTTCCAAGTTGTAAGATAAACGGAAGCAGGCAGCATTCAACGTATAGCTTTGCTATATAAAACCATAAGCACCAGTAAGACTGTCCTTGATCTGTATAGTAGGATTTGCTTTACGGAGACCAAGAAAACTTTTTGCGATGCATCCTCATTGCTTCCTCGCACTCTTTACTCTGCTCAGAGCCGGCCAGTCCAAGTAGGCGTCCGTCTAAGCCTTCACTTTAAAGGGGGGCCTCCAAAAAAAATTTATATCCTGTAATTAACATATAAATACAAAAAAAGTAAGAAATATCATAATTCATTTGTTAGTGCAGTGAAAATGTTCGGCTTCATTTTTCTTTGGGTGTTGAGTTCGAAACACAGAGCTGTCTTTCAGTCACTAAATTTTTCTTATTTTTCAAATTTACTGTCAATTCATCTGTTCAAATGTATATAAAGTTATAAAACTCAAGTCCCTTTGCAATCTTTTTTTCTTTCAACTTCTCATTATCTCCATTTCTATTGAATGTTTAAACCAACTATCACATGGTCTGAAAGATTGTACTTTAAGGTAATCAAAACTTTGAATTTATATTTTGCTTTCCAATAACTTTTTATTCAATGGATTATTTTAATATTTAATTCGTTAGTGTGATGTTGATTTTAGACCAAAAAAAAAAAACACAAGAGAAACAATTGGCATTGTTGAATTTATTATACTCGTCAATCAAGTTTTATTGTTTTTCACTCTCTTGATCATCAAGATTTGTGTCTAAAAACGTAAGCCGTGTAATGTTTGTTTATTTATCTTCTTTTGATATTAATTTTTAATGATATTTGATGTGAAAATATAATTTTTTATGTATTTAGCGAATTCTTTTTTGTACAAATCAATATACAAAGAACTAGAGATCAGAGAACTTTAGGGCTCCCACTTCGAAAGCTCGCCTAGGGCTCCCAATTTCTCAGGGCCGGCCCTCTGCTTACTCTTCTTGTCGCTGCTGCGGCGACTAGGAAAGCGAGTCCCCCTTGGAAGGAAATTAAAGACCTCAAGGATCCATATGTGATAGGCATCGCAGAGTTGTGTGTGTGGGGTGGGGGGGGTTGTGTGTTTTCGGTCTGAGAATACAACAAGAATGTCACAGGCTCGAACAAGTTGGTGTTTCAAAAAGTGACTTGGGGGCAAACCGTGTTTATTTCAGGCATGTTTTATGGTCTTGTCATTGCGGCAAAACACGACCTATCCCGCCAGAAGAGTATAGACATGGTGTATGGGACAGATTTCCAACGAGGCTATTCAGGGGCTTAAGACAAGATGATGGCTTTGATGTTTAGTAATTTAAATTTAGGGTTTAGTGTCTGTCAATTTCAGTCGTCTCGCCGTTGGGTTATAATAGAGACTGATCGGAGTGCAGAATAAAACTTTGGCCCATATATATTCAAACTGGTACTCCATGTATTACAAAATAAGCACTCGACGTATATTTTCTTTCACTTATATTATGATATGTGCGGTACTTTTTAAATACTCGTTACAAAATAACTAAAAAGTGGCGGGACATGAAAATTTGATTTTAAAAATATTTGCACAAAACACATTTTAGTCACTTTAAAAGTAATTACAAACAAGCATTTATACATATTTTTATGGGAACTTTAACGAAAAACTTCCGGTACTGTTCACTTTAATAAAAAACCATATTTTTACACTAAAAATCAATCCTGATACTATTCACGTTACCTTTTATTTTATCCTTATCATTAAAACTCAAAACGTTCAAATCATTTTCATTAATTTTTCTTATTTTTATCCCGTATTTTTACTAACCATGATGGGTTAATTTGCAGAGATAAAAAGGTTAAAAAAACATTACAATTATTGTTGGAAACAAACAAAACATTGTTACATGTAAAAAAAAAAACAGAAAACAAAACATTGTTACATTACATTAACACTGAAGCTCAGATTCAACGATGTGCTTGGAATATGCTATACAAAATACAGTGTAGATCAAACACGGTCACATATTATGGTACACTACTGCCTTTCATAAGCTAATAAAAAAGCAAAGATTGAATAATTATATCGCACGCTGAGTGAGTTCGGGTGAACATATGGTACAATTTATTTCACATTTTGCCCGACTATGCATCTTCTCGGTGTTCTCATTGCCACTGAACGTTGTTGCTCCGTTCAGTTGGTGAGCCGGGAACAAAGGGAACAAAACCCCGGCCTCCAAACACTGGTCGCATGAAGGCGTTATCAAACTTACGCCAATAGCGATGGACGGTGTGCCTATTAAATGGAGTCGTCAGAAGATCGCGAATGCTGGCTGGCCGTCGAATATCATGGCCAGCGAGATCATCTACAGAATCCTGCCCCAGAAGTGGAATAATGATTGATTTTGGAGTGGTTGGTTCTGATGACAGCATGCTGGTTGTTTGTTTTGATGAATGAGGCAGCAAGAACCTTATAAGAGGTTTTGTCATCAATCCGAACACCTGATCAAAGTCCAATGATGATAATCACTATGGTTTCCAACAAAACTAATTGGTATGATGCACGTTGGAACTACCGCAAATCTAATAAAACTTTAAGCATGATAGAACGACTAAACTTCTGGTAGACCACAAAGGCCCAGTCAGTCAATTCTCTGAGAAACGGATAAATCTTTGGCAGATTGCCGTTATTCGTAAGAAAACAGGATCAATGAGGAAACAAAAACGTTCACAAGTACATAATCCAGAGCAGATGTCTTACCACTGTGCTAACAAGAACAACAGTTATCGTGCTAGTGATCATGATTGCATTTGCTCGCAACTGTGTGTGGCCTGACCTCGTAAACTGCATTGAATGAAAATTGTATTAGATGAGACCATCTCTCCTTTCTTACATAGTATATAGAATTTGGTTATAATAAGTTCTCATGGAACGCCATTTTTTTTTGCTTTTCTCTATGACCAGTAGGTAGTAATTAACATATAACTTGCCTGATTGTAAGCTAGTGCTATCGAAACAGCACCTCTCATGAGACCAGCCCACCATATTATCACCTACAAGAAGAAAAATGTTTGTTAGTTCAATCGGCTAATTCACTGTATCTGAAGGAAAAAAAGCGTCGCTGAAGAAACAGTGTGCTTACTTGCTGCTGGAGGCTGATTTTCTCATGTTGGTTTTTCTTTGCTAAGTTGGACAAAAATGATAGGGGGAAAACAAAAGCTGCTCTTCCTAGCATAAGAAGACCTAGCAGTATTGAACTCACCGCCACAGATGTTCCAGGACTATGAATGCAAAGTCAGGCACAGCACGAGTTAGCATAAGTCATAATGTTATGAACAGATATGTACAAGGTTCAAAACATCCCACGTTACAAGGGCATACCTGTCGCTTACAAATCTCCACTTTTCAATGTCCAAGGCATCCATACCAACATAAAGGAAGATAAATATTTCGGCAACAAATGACAAGGTTGCGAAAGCATGCCTGTAAAAATGTGTAGAAAATTTGAAATCATTAGTTAAACGACCTATTATTAAACTGTGTCAACAGGACCATTGCATTCGAATGGCTTGGAGGTAATATTAAGGAAGCCATACTTGGTCGTAACTCTTGAACTCTCAGTCACATTGTGCCAAGTGTAATGCGACATCACGATCCCACAAAAGAACACGGTGAGAATGCCACTCAAATAGAATAACTGCAACACACAAGTTGTCATAGTTGTTTATATGACTAAAGCAAAAAGATCTAACTAGACACTTGAGGACGGGAAGAAGGGAGAGTAGAAGAAAAGCTTACTTCAGCCAGTATATATGACAGGTATGCCATGAGCATCATAAGAGCAACCTCACGATCCGTAGAGTGCCTGAATTATGTCACAAACCAGGTTGTGTCAGCAGTCTACTTGGTTTGCGGTGTGAACAAGGCATAACTTGAATACATAAATTAATAACGATATACCTTCCAAAATAAAGCTTTTTGATAATGTAAGCACTAAGCAGCCCTGCCTGCAAGAGAGAGAAGTTATGCTAAGGTACAAAAAGGAAGGGGAAAAAAAAACAATATAGCACATTTGTGTATATGGACACACGGAAAAGAGAGGGAAAGGGAATTACAAACACTCCTAGCATGGTGCTTGCGAAAAACAAATATAAGAAGTTTCCCAGAAAGTGCAAGGCAATGCTGGAATCAAGGTGGGTGAGATCAAAGCTCTGAATAGCATTGAAAAGAACCACAGATGTCGCATCGTTAACGACACCCTCCCCGAACACAAGACTGTAGAGTAAAGGTGTCTCATCTTGATTAAGCACCTGGACATTGGGCACACAAATTTGGTGTCAAACTATTCGTATTTTATTTGTTTGAAAACTCTGATGCAACAAGGATATGTGTCATACCTGCAACGTGCAAACAGAATCCGTTGCAGCAAATATTGCACCAATTGCTACGAATATGAGATTAAAATAGTTAGAACCCAAATAGAATCCAAAGAAACAAATGGAGCAAAGAAAGTGAAATACCAAGAAAGTCCCCCAATTCTAGAGTTCCAATATCCAATTTCTTAAAGAATTGTGTAGCGCCTGAATCAAGCAAAGACAAAGTAAGTGTACTTTTTCAAATTCGAGTATAACTCATAAGTCATAACCACCCTTGTGCACATCGGGGAAACAGAACGTTCAGAGTTACAAGCATACCTAATGCTATGACAGTGCAGGATACTAATGTACCAATGGCACCAAACAGTACAATGGTGCTGAAGTTAACAAAGAACTGCTTCTTTTTCACCTGAAACCTGATACACGCATAGCAAAGACCAAAACAGGAACCATAAGCTCGGAGAAGAAAAATTTTATTGATTACCTACCAATATGAGATCAACCAACATAATCGAAAATGGAAACTTCGACACAAAAAAGGAAAATTGGTGTTCTGAGGCAGGATGGAAATAGGCGAAAACACCTATAATAGTTTACGGGAAACATCAAACACATAAATAGAAACACTTGTGCCGAGGATTGCACATACATACTAAAAGCAAAACAAACATCAACTACCTATCAGGATATAACCAACACCTCATTTAATACACTTGTTAGAAAAATATGTAAACGGGAAGAAAACTCACCCGGCATTAAAAATAATAGGTGGAAGGAGGTATATGAAGAAAAGATCTTCACTGAAAACCAAAAGACGCGAACTTTTTCCTCGACTGATCAGAAGAATAACTACTCCAGTACATACCCCCTACAAACAAACCACATAAAATCAATCACAATTTGCCGAAATACACCAATAGCGTATAATTCAAACTTTTCTTTTCGTATGTTCTGTTTCATTTCTATCAGTAACCGAAGCAAATACTCACAATCAAAAGGGCGGTGATCGACTCATTCACCCATCGATTCTCCTCGAGAAGATGTCCGATCACAATACAAGCTAAAAGTAGCACCACGAAAAGGTTCATCGAAACCACAGACGAGTGGTCCGAAGTGGATAGATTTTGTAACTTTGAGATCAGCATGCTCAAATGTGGAACCGCCATTGTATCCACCTCTTCGAATAAATTACACAGCAGAAATATATAACAAACTAATTGAACAATCTTTCAAAAGAAAGCACAAAAGATGAGATTCTCTTTCAAGTTTCGTATTTGCAGAATCTTCGAATTTGCGGAATCTATCTCTCCGAACTGTCCATCTCAATAATGTTCGAATATCATAAACCTTATGAACTCTGCATTAAAACGAAAAAAACACAACTTTTAGAATGCTAAAAGTTCAAAATGCACTGTTTGGTTGCCGAGAAAATTGAGAAAATGCAGGAAAGCAACAGCTTTAAGAATGTTTTCGAATTCAAACGACAGAAAGCGGCCGACTTCTTTTATTTTCCTCCATTTTCTCGGCATCCAAACACAGAAAACAGAAAATTTAACAAACCCATTTGTCCAAAATTCCAACAATTATATAACAAAATGCTTACCATGGAGGTTCGAAGCACATGCATAGCGGGAGCAAATTGGGCAAAAAGGTAAATCCACCTCGTGATTCTGGATCGAACGGTCTAAAATTCACGAAGAGAAAGAGTTCCAACAGAGGAAGCTGGAACTCAATTTCTGCTCCGAAATTCTCCGGAGACCCCAAAACGGACTAAAAATGCGAGGATTCCCGAGCTCAAATGACAAATAAGAAAATTGCTTCTGCTTAATTCAAACCAAAACAATCGTAACTTTCCCAGAAAATGGAGGAAAACGAAGGAAAGTGAGAGAAAATTTTGATAAATAGTTGGAGATATGGAGATTGGAAGAAAACGAGAGAAAATCCGTGGACTTATAAATGGAAGAAAAAGTTGTAGAGAGAGAAAGCGAGGGAGAGGAGAGAGAGAGAGAGAGAGAGAGAGGGAGAAGCGTGTGATTTTTTAACTTGGGGAAAACAGAGAGAGGACAGAAAACGAAAGAGGGACGGAGGCGATGCTTGGTCTAATGCGGCCGGGATGTATCGGAATGAGGCGGGCGGTGGGCGGTGGGGATCTGATCCGTTGGTTTGGTGATCTAAAATGATCGGGTGGCTGGGCGTGTTTTACTGATTAAATGGTCGTTGAGGAAGGGCAAAGACGCCAAAATTCAGCCACTCGCGTCGCTGTTTTACTTTTGAGAAATAAGTATAACTGTAAAAAATTAAAATTTCCAAAAAGTAAAATTATTTAAAAAAGAAAAAAGAGTCTAGTTAAAAATGGAAATGTGATATCCACACATTTTATTTTACTTTTCACACATCTTTTTAATTTTCAGCCTTTTGATCAGATGAATTGAAGAAGATCAACGGACAGAAATTATCAAAGAGTATGTGAAAAGTAAAATAAGATGTGTGGATAGCACACCCCTAAAAATATTCTATTTTGAAATTGTAGTAATTTGATTCATGCCACAAATTATTTTCCAAGAAAAAAAATTTTCTTGTTACTTTTAGACCATCTCAAAAAAAATGGCAAATTACAATTGTATTTCTCCAAATAAATTGTTAAATGTTATTTTATTTATATAGAACTCTAAATGATTGTATTTACTAAAAAATTGTTGAAACAAAATTTCTATTGATTGGAACCTTAGTTGAATAAGAAACCCATCATTCAAAAATTGTTGAGACAAAATTTCTATTTATATTAAACTAGACGCCGATTTTTAAACTCCTAATCATAAAAGCTTTAAATTCATTCAGCAAATAACATTTTGATTAAAACAATTTTTTATATCAAATATGTACAATGATACCTCCACCTTGCATGGACTTAGGAGTCTTTGATTAATGCAAATTATGTAAGTGCATGTTTTATTATGTTATTTTTGTTAATATTATTTGGATAATTATGTAGTAAAAGACAAGTTTAGTGGATTATGTATTTGATTTAACCAAATACTAAATTGATTTAATAAATAAAATAGAGTTTTTGCACTGAGAGGACGACACCTGGCTAAGCTGGCTCTGTCCAAAGTGGACCCCTCCAACTACTCTTCTTAACTTCTTCGACGTTGATGTCAAATTGCGAAATCACGCCAGTCTTTTAAGGGATATTTTCCGGATTTTTTCTACTAAATTCATTTTATTAGTTGATTTGGATTTTTGAAATTTAATTTAATTATTATAAATAAAAATTTATTTTAAAAATTATAATAACTTTAATCGTTTAATAAGAAGGATTTGATAGAAGGGATCCGAAGATGATCCATTTCCACTCCTTTCTTCTTCTTTTTTTTATTTGTATTCGGTTGTGTTTTTCTTTGCTTTCACTTCTTATTATTTTCGATAATTACAAATCTACCCCAATTTAGTGTTGTCGGTCGAATCTTATTTGAGATTGGATCCACAGATTCGACGGTGTACGTGTGTCTGTGTTGGGACAGAACAGGATCAAAAGACTCTAGTGCCCCAGTGGAGTACTGCTAGATCCATTTGTGTTGTATTTCGTTTTGCTTATCATCACACTGTTTTATTTGAGTTTTTCTACCACGTATCGGAGTATAACATTCATCTGAGTTTAGATTGTCAAATGCTTTAGACCCTTCAACCAAATAATAAAAGAAAAAGTGAACTATCGATAGAGTTTCTAAATTATCACTTTAGTGAAAATTAAATTTTTTAAAATTATTTTTTTGGTAAAATAAATCCATAAATTAATTAAAAACTTCTAATTTCATTCTTAATATTATATTCAAGAATGTTTTATCTAGTTTTTCGTTAACTAAAGTTACATGACACATTTGAGAGGGTAATTATGTCATTTTATTTCCTATAAGCCATTTACGTTGCATATAAGTTGCGAATATGATATCTAATTTACCTTATAAAGTTAACTTTATACCTTTTTTTTTTTTTTGAAAAAAAAATAGGTCCTTATATTATGGAAAACCACCAATTTGTCTTTTAAAGGGTATTATATGCTAGTCACGTGACTGCAAGCTACAGTAGGACAATTCCATCGTACCATCAGTTTATCAACACTCATAGACGAGAAGTTTTTCATTGTACTCATAAAACGAGATACTACATTACATATCATTATATAAATAGAGAAAAGTTTTTTTTCGATTGTTCCTCTACTTGTTTAATAATATTCGGTGTACTACTCATTATTTCCAGCACATTGAAAAATCTATCATCGAAACACCTATCCGAACCATAAACATTTTTTAAAATAGCTAATAATAATTATCAACGATAATTTGCGGTTAAGGGCTTTGTCCTTCCACGTGTTAAGTGGATGGATATAGATCTTGGTGGGGTATGAGATTCATGTGGGGCTGATGCTGAGCCAACTTGGCCAACTTTCTGATTGAAAATAATAAAAAAGTAGGCCAACTTTTGAAACTAACATATCAGAAAATGCATGCATTATGGCGGGGCTCACGTGGAAATGCATCCAAAATATCTATATTTTCACCTCAACAACGATGTTTTCTTTGCCCTGAGTTCTGCTGAATTATTATATATTAATGTTTGTAAAATAAATAGAAACATTGTGGATCTTGTTTTAGCAGGATTAATATAGATCTTAATATTAAACTCCCCCTCCCCCCAATTATAGAGTTCACAAGACATAAAAAATATGGACGACGACAAATAATATATGTGTTAAATTGTAAGTATATGATAATAACTTACTTATTCAGAAAAGAAAGAAAACGACTTGTGGGACTAACAGACAATTTAAACAAACGTAGAGTTTGATGTGAGATGAAGAGTGTGGGGTTTAAGGATAGTATTGAAATATATATAGTTTATTAAGATAATTTTTAATTTAAAAAAATAAATATGAGATGTATTAAATAAATGACATGTAGTCAAAAGTATATGAAGAGTGAATAAAGCAATCAATATATACCTATCCAGTCGACCATAAAATGTAAAAAAGAAAAAGAATATGTTTAAACTCGTCCAAAATTTGATGCAACTTTAATTTGAGATCATAATATATCGTCTCTTATATAATATATATATATATATATATATATGAATATCATAGTATTTTTAAACACTTATTAACTATAACTTTCTATTTATTCTGAGAAAAAATATATATTTGTTAATCATCCTGCTTTAATGGACAAATGACAAGGACTAAGAACCAGTTTATCTTCTGAAATCAAATTAATGGATAATAATGAAATGTTTTTATGTAAATTATAAAATGCAAATGTTAAATTAAATTATTATTATATTTTCCCTCACCTTAACCATCATATTCGCAAGTCACGAACAAGAAGACAGCAAAGCAATTGTCTGAAAAGTCTCACGAGCAGCCTGAGGTGACTCCACCATCGTATTATAATGCGAATAAAGAAGCATTGAATCTCAAAGGAAAGTTCAATTAAAAATAAAAAGATTGTTAATTAACAAGTTCATTTGGATGGGAAACATTTAGTAAGATGAATTGACATTTACTAGCCAACGACTTGAAGGAAACAAAATTATGAAAGACAGGAAAACTAGTATTTTATAATTAGGCCAATTTTTTTTCGTAATCTTTGTGGTGATACCCTACTTTTAAATAGATCCTTGTGGTGAAAAAGTTATTAATTGTAATTATACGGTGAAATTTATTATCAATCATAGTCCAAATTAGATTTTTCCTCATTCTTCTTCATTTGTAGGGGTAAAATTAGTATTTTTATTTTTATTGATTCCATCAACCAATCATAAAGCACCAATGGACATAATTTTTTATTATTTTTTTAACTTTTAGAGCTATAATGAAAGAATAAATAAACAATAAAATTACAAAATTCATATCATCAAACTTTCTCATTTCAAGAGAGCTAAGAGTCCAAATTCAAGATTTAAAAAATCACAAAGTACATCGCCGCATTTAGGTTAGAATATAAGTTATTATGCAAACATCAAATATAGTTTCATTTTAAGAAGAATAGTGGTGGACGGGATGGCTAGGGTTATGTGAGAGAGAAGGGGAAGGTGGTGGGTGGTCATTGTGGCTGTGGCTAACAAGGGTAGGGATTGGGGAGGGATTTCTTCTTTTTTTTTTTCCTTCTATTTTGTTGAGTATAAAAAGGTGGAATTACCAAAAAGAAAAGAAAAGAAAAATAATGGAATGACCTTTTTACCCCTACAAGTGGATGATATTTTGACAGAAATTTCAATTTGGACTACGATTGATAACGAACTTCACCACAGAGTTAAGTTAACATTTCTTTTCACCATAAGGATCGATTTAAAAGTAGCATCTCACCACAGGGATCAAGAAAAAAATTAGTCTTTATAATTAAGTGCTAATAAGAAAGGATTGCGATTCCTCCTTCTTTAAAGTCGCATCTTTTTCGGTTTTCTCTTATTTGAACGGTCACGATTAAGTCACATCAATATTTGATATTGACGTCTTATAGATAGAGAAAAAGAGGACAACGAGAGGAAAAGGAATGGAGGTGAGAGTTTGTAGGGTAGAGAATCTGACTCCAATAAAAAAAAAGGGTAAATCTCAGTTTACTACCCTCAAGTTTTGTGGTTTTCAACATATGGTACATAAAGTTTTTTTGCCCCAGAGTCATACCTAAAATGTTAATTTTGGGACAATCTCATACATCCGTTAGTCTGACTGTTACTTCTCTAGTTAACTGATGACGTGGTGCCCATATGGACAATCACTGGATGTCACATGTCAATAAGGGTCTCACGTGGATATTAAAAATTAAAAATTACAAAAAAAAAAAAAAAGAAAAAAGAAAAAAGAAGCTGTTTTCTTCCTCAAACCCCCGACCCTCCTTCCATTCTCTCTGAGAGCACCCACCCAACCTCTGCACCTTTGACTCGGCCATCGATTCCCTCAACTCGCCCAAGTTCCCCTTCTCATACTCCATACCCGCCGGTTCTTTTGCCACTGAATCGAAACATCCATTGCACGAATCCTCCACCGCCGAATTACTCGACTGCTCGGCCAACCCGATCTCCCCACCGGCTGGTTCAACCGATTTATTCGGCTCCGAATCATTACCCGTACCGGCATATCCAGTTCCAGGTTCCTCGGGATTCTGATCTGTTGTGTTCGACTCATCAAACGACTGGCCGTCGTGCACCAAGAAATCGCAGGAGATATCTTTTTTCTCTGGCGAGATGTCATTTGATTTAATATATTCCTCTCCGGTTTTCTCTAGATCCGATTTTTCTACAGATTTTGGGTGGGTGCTCTCAGAGAGAAGGGAGGGAGAAGGGAGGGTCGGGGGTTTAAGGAAGAAGATAGCTTATTATTATTATTATTATTATTATTATTATTATTATTATTTGTAATTTTGTAATTTTTTTTAATGTTTAATTTTTAAATTTTTTTAATTTTTAATATCCATGTGGGACCCTTATTGACACGTGGCTCCCAGTCGTTGTCCACGTGAGCGACACGTCATCAATTAAGGGGAGAAGTAACAGCCAGTCTAATAAATGTATGACAGTGTCCCAAAATTAACACTTTGGGTATGACTCTGGAACGAAAAAAAACTTAATGTACCAAATGTTGAAAACCACGAAATTTGAGGATAGTAAACTGAGATTTACCCTAATATTTCGATTTTTTTTTCTTAATTTTAATGGTGTTTTAGACGGACCATCTTCATGGAATAAGTAAATATTGAGTTTGCATCTCGTTGATCATGATTCATGCATATGCAAGGTCCTCTTTTTTGGGGTCTGCCTTTTCTGAGGCATGCATTTTTCTTGTTCATACTTTTATGCCCAATCAACAGTAAAAATATTCACAACAAAAATGTTATAATATTCTTACAAGTATTATGAATCTTACTTTGGGGGAAAAAAATCATATTGATCATCCCCAAACATAAATAAGTAAACTTGAACATGATTGATTGTCATCTTAATCGAACCTGAAACATTTTGGGTTAACTACTTAACTTACTTGGTAAAGCCATGTTTTGGGATGAGTTCTTGTGCCTCACACAAGCATGCGACCATAGACAAGATTATTGTGTGGAGCTATAATACAAGGGTTGGGTTTGGTCTTTGCGAGTGTGATCGCATAGGCGGATCTTAGAATTTCTCTATGTTTTGTGCCTACTCTTTCAATGTTTATCCAATTTTCTAATTAGTGTTGTAAACATTATTATTTATGTGACTATCTATTTGGACCATTGTATAATATATCATTATTATTATTAGTTAAGTTTTTTAGTGATGTGAAGTAGAAGAAAAACTTGAAGTAGCATCCAAGTAACCCTAACATTGTATCAAGGACTCTAATAAGATACATTAGCACACATACTATATCAAAATTCTCATAAATTATCAAAACTCTCTTTTATTATATGGTTTACTTTTGTAAAATATATTTTCGTTTGAGCTAAGAGTTTCATATTTTGCTCAACCATTGAACTTCATGATTCTATCCATTGTTTTTTCGTTGCTCACACATATTGTGTTTATGTTAAAACCTTACTCGACGTTTAAGTTTGCTTCTTATATTATAGATGACCTAAGAGTGGTTGGTCTAGTGATCAGGTTCTTGATTTTGCTCCCAAGTGGTTTGAGGTTCGACTCTCTCCCATGGTACCTACCTAACAAATGCTAGAGTTTTATCTCTCTCCCAAATGTTGTGGGGTTAGGCTGGGGGCTTAGTGTTTAGTCGGATGAAAGACTCGAATACACTAGTTTCAAAAAAAAAAAAAAATATTGCAGATGACACTATACCTCAATACTGAGCAATCATGTATGTACATATTAGTGCCGGTTCAATCTCCACCGGCTCCTCTTCCTTTAATGTTTAATAAAGTAACGCTACCGCTTACTCCGTAACGACTAAAAAGGTTTTACTTTATATATCGTGTGAGCCGGTGAATGGTTCGCTCAATAACGTGCCGATCCTGTTAACCAAAGCCCAATTGGACAATTTATTTCCTCTTGCAATTTCGACCACGTGGCCACTATTTATTGGCTAGGCAGTCTCACGGCGAACGCCGTTACCGCAGAGGAAACGACTCCCAGAACTACAGTCGGAGTATTGCTTCTCTCTCTGGTGGCACTGTGGGTTTTTGATTAGGGTTTTTCTAAATTGACAGCTCCAATTCTCCGTTCTTCGATTAATTCATCGGAAGTAGACGACGACAATGGGCGCACAGAAAAAAGGTGCACCTGGGGTTTCAGAGGACCCTGAGGAACTGGCACGTGTCCCCTTGCAGGCCATCCTCTTAGCTGATAGTTTCACCACCAAATTCCGACCCATCACTCTCGAGCGCCCCAAAGTATGTATCTTTCTTTCTCAGTATATCTTTATGCATGCATTATATATATATATACACATATATATATATATGTATGTATGTATGTATGTATGTATGTTTCATATTTTATGTATAACTAAATATATGTATGTGTGTATAATAATATGTACATAAATGTATATATGTAAATGATTCAAATAATTTATAATGCAGTTTTAGTGGAATGGAAACAAGGGCTTTCGGAAAATTTGCGAAATTTCGATCATTTTTTGGTTAGGTTTCTATGATAGTTTCGAAAATTAGCAAGTAAACAGATGTTAGTGTTGCTATTTGGGTTAATACAATAGCTAATTGATTTAATTGAGATTAGTGGATGTTGATGACTAAATTTCTACTACAGGCTACTGCATTAAAACTTACATGTTTTCGACTGCTCTTGTTAAACGCTCACACTTGATGGTGAAGCTGGAAAACGAAGAAGGGTTTAAGAATTTTTGTTTTTTCTTTGGATTTTTGGTGAGTGATGAACTTATAGGTAGTGCCATTGACATGCATGACAAAAAACTACGAATTTTAAACTTTTTTTTTTTTCCTGATGAAGGTGCTGTTGCCATTGGTAAATGTCCCGATGATCAATTACACGCTAGCATGGCTTGAGTCCGCTGGTGTCGAGGAGGTTTTTGTTTTTTGTTGTGCTCATTCTAAGCAAGTGATCGATTATTTGGAGAGTTCAGAGTGGTTTGCTCAACCAAATTTCACAGTCACGACGATTGAATCACATAATTCTGTTAGTGCTGGAGATGCTCTGCGCTTGATATATGAGCGCAATGTGGTATGCTCATATCTTAACCTTCTTGTGTTTTGTTTTCTCTATGTTTCCAAGCATACTCAGAATCAGGCTGGTCTATATTTTCTATTTTGACGTAAGATCAATATTGGCATGATGTTGTGCGTTTGAAAAGCAGACTAGATCGATGGCATATGACATGATTGAAGACCCTGCTTCTCTACTCAGGACATTTTGTTTCATCTCAAATGGAAAAATTTCCCCCTAATCCAAATGACATTATCGCATCTGGTCACTAATTCTTAATATGGTTAACTTGTACTAGAGTTACTCTACTTTCTCCGAATTTTTTAGATAATGCAATGGAATCTGAGATTTTGTAGGGTGTTAGTTTCCTGTTTTGCTGCTACTTCTGTAATAGTGAGGTTAATTTAAACATTTTCTGAAACTTTACAGTTGCTACATTTTTCATACACCATAATTTTTATTATTTTCCCTCTTTCCTCTACAGATACATGGAGATTTTGTTCTAATTAGTGGGGACACTCTGAGCAACATGTCGCTTACTCAGGTACTTCAAGAACATAAAGAGAGAAGAAAAAAAGATAGTAATGCTGTGATGACAATAGTTATAAAACGGTCAAAGCCTTCTCAGATCACTCATCAATCTCGACTGGGCAATGATGAGCTGTTTATGGCAACAGATCCTAATACAAAGCAGCTTTTATATTATGAGGACAAGGAAGACCATACAAAAGGATCCATCTATCTCAACAAGTTATTGATTGCTGATAACCCTTCAATTACTTTACATAATGACAAACAGGTAACATCTCAATCGTGCCCTTAAAGGTCTGTGGTTGCTTATTAATCTCTGTAGAAAGTCCACTAGATCTTTTGTAGTGAGCCTCAGTAACTCTTCATTGTTTTAGTGTCATCTGGTGGGGTCTTTATTGTAATGTGCTTGTGGATGTTCAACTACTCCATGAGGTCTACATTTGTACTTACCCAGTAAAAGAGATATTCAGACGAAAAAGGTGACATCCGACATGGACTTTGTGAGAATATCAAAACAAAGGAGATTTGAAAAAACTCTTAATTCAGAAATTTAAAACCTTTAATTTGCGGAATCTCTTTGCTAATTTTGTTCCAAGTATCACCATGTGAAATGAAAGCAAAGTAGCCTTACTTATGATTCAGGCTAAATCTCTTATTATAAGAGTTGGTATGGATTGACCCTGATTGCTTGTGTAACTAACAAAACTGAATGATGAAGCATCCCTTTAGGTTTATTTGATACATCAGTTCACCTATATTAAGATATTATGTTTAGCATAACGCCAATTGGAAGGTGTAGTGGTTTTAGTTTTTGCCTCACATGTTTACACTACTTTTGGAATACCAATTGTAACTTGAAGTTAAGGTGTCCTTCCTGTTATGTAGACGTTTAGAACTTATCAGTGATAGATTTTTGAATTCTCTGGGGGTATAAAGGGGTTTAGGCCATGTGTCTCATATTATTAAAAGGTTGTTTTATCTTCTTGGGGCAATGTGGTTTATAGTCTCTCTGTGTGTGGCAAGCGCATGAACCCTAAGAAAGAATTGGATCAATATTATGAAATAAATTTGTGATCAAGATGCTTCAGTTTCTTCTGTGTAGATAATATTCTTTCTTGCACAATTACTATTCACATTTTTATTGCGTTTTCCCCTGAATTAATTGTATGGTGTGTTCTATTCTAAGTTTCTGACAACTGTTCTACCAACTTGTTATTGATAAAATCTGCAGGATTGCTATATTGATATATGCTCTCCTGAAGTCCTTAGCCTTTTCACGGACAATTTTGATTATCAACATCTACGTCGTCATTTTGTGAAGGGATTGCTTGTTGATGATGTATGTCTCGTACTGGAGATCTTTTTGTTTGTTCTGTGTTTATAATTAACCTTGCAATTCTTCTAAGGGAACCATCTATCCGTTCAGATTATGGGTTACAAAATATTCACACATGAAATTCACTCGAGTTATGCGGCTAGGATTGACAACTTCCGAAGCTATGATACAGTTAGTAAGGACATAATTCAGAGATGGACATACCCATTGGTGCCAGATGTAAAGTTTTTTGGGAATTCTTTGATAAAACTGGAAAGACAGGGAATGTATCGAGCATCAGGTAATGTTCAGTATATTGACATGTGAGTCATGGCATAAATTGCATATACTTACGTATGTCTTTATTTTAGTATTTTTTTTTTTCTGGGGAGGGGGTTGCTATTAACAGTGAACGTCTTAGTGCATGTTCTTTCTGATGTTGTATGATTAGTCCCCCTCCCCTTTCAAAAAAAATCATGATGTCTGTCACATCTGATCTAACCTACACTCTTAAACATGGTTTAGTTTTCAGTAATTGTTCTCTATTATATTTGGCTGTCTTAATAAAATCATTATTTATTTTTTTTGGGTAGTTAAAAATTTGTTGCGCCAGTTCTTCTAATTCGCATCTATAATGACCATAAATGTTCTCTGTCATCCTCTCCTACCTTTATAATCTGCCCTTCCCTAGTGAAAGTAAGATTTGACTACCAAGTATTTGGTATAATAAAAACATTAAGAGGCATTACAAAGGTATCCAATGCTATTAATAAGTTGACTTTATTTCCTAATCCTTGCCTAATTAAACAAATATGTGTCTTTTAATCATGAGCGGTGAACTTTGAAAAAAAAAAAAAAAAAAAAAAAATTCCTTGCTCAACTGCTGTAATAACATGACCTTTACATACTAAAGTTGCATACTCTTTCCCGTTTGACCAATAATTAGTAGCATTGCTATAAATTTTTATATATCGCAGGTGATCTGTTCTATAAACGTAGTAATAGCATTGTTGCTTCTGCAATGATTGTCTTCTAATTGTGAACTTAACCGGTTAGCTATGTTTATCTCATTATGTGTGATTTGATAAATTAGCTACTCTTCAGACATAGGGCAATCGCGCTCTGCACAGATTGGGCCTTTTACAGTCATTGGGAGTGGCACCAAGATTGGGAACAACACCAAAATTTCAAATTCTGTTATTGGGGAAGGGTGCTCTATTGGATCAAATGTGTCAATAGAAGGCTCCTATATATGGGATAATGCCACTATTGAAGATGGCTGCAAGCTGAGGCATGCTATTGTATGTGATAGAGTGATCATGAAGTCTGGAGCAGTTTTGGAACCTGGTGTAGTTTTGTCTTTCAAGGTACAAGCCATTAATCATGTTATAGCACTATTTTGAACTGCCAAATGTGTCCATTATAATGCTCCAAAAAAAAAAAAAACCTGAAAAAAATTGTACAAAACAATTACTAAGCAGTTTACTGGCCCCACATATATAACCAGAATCTTTTTACAATGTTATAAATTCATTTGGACATGTATACTAGTACTGATAAGATCTTTAAAATATGTTGAAGTTAAAATTAAGTTCTGAAATCAAAAGATTTATAACTTATGTACCCTTGATATTAAAATTGTGCCTTGTGATCTTTTGCAAACTCCATGTTTAAATCACATTTTCAGTTTGCAGTGTATTTTGCCTTTCATTCTGAGAATACCTGCATTTCTCTCGTTTACTGTTATTTTGATGTCATGCCCGATATTTTCTTAGAAGGGAATGTGAACCTTTGCCTGCTAAATTTAGTTTTTCTTTGCGAATTGATCTTTCCTCCTTTTTTTTTCTTTCTAAATTTGTATGAGCCAGATACATGTTTTGCTTGTGGTTTTCTGATGTCTTTTCGATCTTAATGTGCTTCTACACTGTTTACCCTTCAGGTTCTTATAGGACAAAAATTTAATGTCCCTTCATACTCAAAGGTATCTCTACTTCAGCAGCCAACTAAGCTAGATAGTGACGACGAGCTGGAGTATGCTGACAATAGCAGCGGGATTGCAGAAAAGTCATGTAATTCTTTCAAATTTTGCCCCTAAGCTTCATGTTTGGTCCTGTTGAGTTCTGTTTAGTGCAAAAGAATGGCCTTAGCCATGTGTGACTTGTAAGGTATCTGCTTCTTATTAGTCATATCGCTGCTCTTTAGATACTACATATAATTAGGCAGTAAATTTGTTGGAGTAGGATGGTTTCTATGAGGTGAACGTGGAACCAATCTAATGAAAAGAAATTGTAACAGAATGATTTACTGGATTCTTTGTTCTATTTTGTGGATGACCATGGTTATTGATTTCCATAACTTACTAAGAAATGTCTCCTAAGTTTCTGGGTCATGTCATCCAGAATGCAGAACTGTAAATGAATTGCTATTAGCTTTTACGGAAATTGTGTTTCAAATTAAGGAACTTGAGGTGGGGGCATAAGCTTTATAACATCTTTGGTGGGAAAATTACTCATCATATAATGTATTTATACTTGTTAGTTGTCTATTTGATGAAATTTGTATTGATTTTCAGCTTTGTTTGTCTGGATTTAGTAGTGGATATTGCATACTTTGTTTGGGACAGCCGTTCAATACTTTTAACCTCATTTAATTCCTTTTGTTTATACTAGTTATTAATAGTAAGAGATGTTTTAACCTTATTGTGTGGTTACCTGCAGCTATCACACCTGTGGATAAAGTAAATGAGGAAACAACGAAACAACGAATGGAGGCTAACTGTTGGCCCACATCTGAGGTTAGCTCAATACTATGGAGCTTGATTCTGTGTTGTCCGTAGGGCGTCAAATAAACTTTGAAGTATTTTTTCAGTCACATATTTTATTAATTTTTGTTCCAGCAACATCAGACAATCTATTAAAGATAACTTGTACTTTCTGTACCTGTAAATGCATAAATTGTACCACAAGTGCTGTCAAGCTTTGGTGAAGAGCTAAGCTCGTTAGGGTAGATACTTAGGTTTTGAAGATTTAAGACAAATAATTAAAAGAAAAAAATGGGCTTAGATTTAGCATTAATATTATGGGTGTTTGATTATTATACTTTCACTCAGACATGGCATCGGATGACACAATCCCTTGAAATCTAGACCGAAATACGACTACATGTGTGGATCCATGTGTACAAATTATTTACGAACTTACGATTTAGCTTGCTCACAGCATGGTCCCTCCAATTTATAGGTAAATGTTTTTTTTTTTGGGGGGGGGGGGGGTGGGGGGGGGGAAGGGTGTACATTTTTTCTCATCAGTGTTTGAATGACCCTGAGAGATGGATGCCCTCAAGGGTGAGTATAGTTTGAATTCAAACACTAACAGGGGAAGGGGGAGTCTTGAAAACGATCGTTGACTTGAAAGAAGATTTGAAATTAAATTAATGACCACTGTTTGTTTTGACTTTGAACAAAACCCATTCCATTTTTTGCTACATAAAGAAACTTATACATTTCTCTATATAGTGGTTATGTTTTTGCAATGATGAGCTACAACATTGTTTTAGTTCCTTATTTCCCTCTTGTAAATAATGAGAATATTGCGTCTCACTTGCAATTTTTCATATATTGTTGACTGTACTGTTGCATATATCTTGACATTCTCTGATACCAGTTGCTATTGTTGATCAGCTTGGTACTGGTGGGGCTGGTTATGTTTGGTCAATTTGTGAAGGAGGCGACGATGAGGAGTGGAGGCATTCAGTTGCTCCCATTCCTGCTGACAAACTTTTGGAGGCAATACATGCTGCAGATGATGATTTGGAGCATGTTCAAGATGGCAGCTCCCTCCCACCTTCACGAGAGTTAAAGCCTGATTCTAATGATTCTGAAGGCGACAATGAAGTGTCTGTAGAGGATTCTGCCGACTTTGAGAGAGAGGTGAACAATGTCAATTAGAATGCTGATGGTAAATACACGTATACAAAGTCAATCCTCAACAGTTTCAGCGTTATCTGCAGGTTGAAGCAACCTTTCTAAGAGCTGTGCATGAAAACATACAAGTAGACCACGTCATATTAGAAGTGAATTCACTGAGGTATTTCTTCGGTTTTCCCTTACAACTCTATCAATTACTCTTTTCCTTGTTATTCCATCTTTTATTTTAACTTTTCTGAAGGTACGCAAAATGGTCATTCTCTGTTAATATTTCAAGTTGTAGGCACAAACATGTATCTGATGAAATGGTGCTAATGTATATTGAATTTTTTAATTAAACCACACATGATTACTTGCTTTTGTTTAATTTCTTCAATTCTTGCACAATCTTATATCCATATTTTGTATACTTTTTATCAAGATAATGCTTTAATATGTAGACTTTTATGATTGATGCTTGCCACTTTTTTGTCCGTTGCAGGTTGTCATACAACAAGGTAGCTGCAGACTGTGCTGGAGCTTTATTTTATTCAATGATGAAATTGGCATTAGAAACTCCACATGGTTCACCAGGTAAATTTTCTTCAGCTTGCTATTCTCGTCCCAATGTTTATATAATTTTCATTTAAAGAAATTTTTTTATGATTGGAAACTTGTGTTAATAACCTTTGAGAAATATGCTTCTATTCCCTTGTTTAATAATCGGCTTTCTCTTGGAATAGTAAAAAGGAATAATTCATTGAGGTGCCAAAGAAAAGAGGGTGGTTTGGGTTTTGGAAGGTTTTTCTCTATTATACAAGTTAAGATCACATTTGGGGGAAGATGCGCATGCACGAATTAGTCAAAGGTTTCATAATTCTGTTTTACAGCATCCATATCTTACTTTTACAATTACACTGTAATTTTTGCTCAGCTGCAGTGTGGGAGCTACTTTCGTATTGCTAACGTTGTTTGTCTTGCTTCTTGACATATGGTCTCAACTAATCTTGTTCAATTCCTTTCTTAGGTGATTTGGTTCAAGCTACTGTTAACATATTTGCAAAATGGAAAAAAGTGCTGAAGTCTTACCTAGCAGAAATAGATGAGGAGGTTTGTACTTGAATCCTTTTCTTTCTTGCTTGTATTCACTTCTTCAATCATTAAACTCTACAATGGAGTTACGTGTGAAATGTCCTCTCCCTTATAAGCTTCTGCAGGTGTGATGATTTCATTTTTATGTCTGCATTATTCATTTACTTTCGCATGACGGTATACTGTGTGTGTTCCCTTTGCAGTCATATTAACCTTTGTTTCCATTTGACTTGAACCCTGAGTATGTCGAATATCATATTCTATTTAATGCATCTTAAGTCCAATCAGTAAATATTATGTTCATTTTTCGCGTTAACATGCTGAACACTGTGATCCCTTAGTTTTGACAGTTGCTAATGCGATACTGATTATTCCAGTAGAAACTGTGATCTAATTTTATCTTCACAGAATTGTGATACTTATTTTGGTTAGTGTTTTGTACCGAGTATTTTTTCAATTTCCAGATTGAAGTGATACTTAGATTTGAAGAAATGTGCGAGTCCTTTAAGGAATTCTCTCCTGTGTTTGACAAGGTACGTCTTCCTACGTAGTTTATGATCATATGTATGACTTGATACAACAATTCTACTTTCATATTCAGTATGTCAAAGATCATAGAAATGGTGGATGTTTCTGCCGAGTGCTTTTGCCAGGCTGGCTTTCTTAAACAATGAAAACCTACGGATAAAGCCATAGCAGAAACAATTTTGAATAAACGCGTTACAAAAGTTTAATGAGTGTTTTGTTGTAACGTAGCGCTCTTTATTATCCTTAATTTGTTTGCAATTTTGATGAGTTTAATTTATCTTCTGACCATTATAATTTTCTTTTACAGATTTTGCATCAACTGTACGAACTAGAAATTATACGAGAAGAAGCCATTATGAGGTGGGATGCCGAAAAGAAAAATGCTGAGGAAGCAGATAGAGTTTATGTCAAGCAATCAGCAGCCTTTATTCAAGTAAGTACTATTATTTGATTTCAGTTCTATTACCTTACGCGATGATTAATGATCATTATGTAATATAACGCACGCATGCTGCCGTTGCACGAGTGCAATTATCTGTTCTTGCCATTTCGCAAATTCAGCTAAAATTCATCGAAATTTGACATAGAAGTCTGTTATGACCATATGCATTCGACATAAGAGAACATTTCACAATTCGGGTTAATTTATTGACCGAAATAGACAAAGTTGATTTCTGGCAACCAAAAATTGATGGCATGGACTTAAATAGTATATCTTTTCTAGTTAAATTTCGTATGATGTTCGCGTTGCTTCACAGCAGTTACGTCTTGTGTCTTATGTCTCAGTGGTTGAGAGAAGCCGAAGAAGAAGATGAAGATGAAGAAGATGAAGAATAGGAAGCAGTTGATACGTTGAACCAATTTCGCAGCGGATGCTTTCAACGAAGCGGGCGGGGTATAATGTTGAACAAGTGTTCTGTGATAATGTTGTATGGATTGGTAGAAAGGGAGAGGCTTTGTCCATAGGCCGGAAAATGGGTTTTACAAACTATCATGCACTTCGGATGTCTAATTTTTTATAGAAAAATCAATAGTAACATTTTGTGTATTTTTAGTATTGTCCGAAGATATTTCTAAGGCAATGAGAAATGCCAAATGATTCTTCATTAACCAACAGGATCCTTTCCGGATTCTTTTGATGAGGATCACGTAGATTTGTAAATCGTGTTTGTTTTTCATACATTGTGCGGTCAGTTTTTGTCAGAGACTATTTGTATTTAATTTTAAATAAAAATATTTAAAATGATTTCTGGCCGCATGATGTACAATAAATAGATATGATTCACGGATTACCGAGATCCTCACAAAGAGGATCCGACGAGGATCTGGATTCCTTCATTAATAATGTTTAAGGTAAATTTATGTTATTTTTATATATACTTTAATCCACTCTCTGATACGAAAATTTTAAGTGTTCTGGGAACACAACTCAGGACAACACATAGCACAAAATAATTAGCTGGATACTTGAAAAAAAAAAAAGAGTAGCTTTTAACCAATTGTTTTGTGACACTTGGTGTATCGGACTATGTTAGTGGTACATTGGAAAAGTTTCTCCTCCAAGACCATCTCTAACCCTTGAGTTAAAACTTAAAATTTTTAACTCAGAAACAATTTTTTTGCTCCAACCTTCTGATTAAATTTTTGGCCTGACATTAAAAAATAAATTTAGGGAGTTTTAACAAAAAGCCCACGGTACGGTGCACTTTAACGAAAAACCACATTTTTACACTAAAAAGTCATTCCTAGTACTATTCACTTTACCCTTTATTTTGTGCTTATCATTAAAACTCAAAGTTTTCAAATCATTTTCATTAGTTTTCCTATAAATTTAAGCTAATATTTGTCTTTAAAGTAACTTTAAAAAAAAAATTTATTTAAACTATCATAATTTAATTTTATGAACATTTTAGCCTAAAAATATTTAGATTCTGATAAATATTAAAAAAGTCATTAAACCGATAGATTTTTTTTATAATTATTTTAACCATTGGATTTAATTTTGGGCTATTAGATTTTTTTTTTTTAAACCATTACATTTGATCGTATTAGATTGTTGGATTCCAATGATTGGAGATGTCTAATACAAACCTCTGTCATAAATACAAACATCAGCAGAAAAAAAAAGTACGAGGATGATAATTCAGATTTCCATAAACAATACAAATTTCCATAAACGGATCCGACAATACGAAGTTACAAGAACAATATTTAAGGCGTCAACCCTTGACAGAAAAAAAAAAAAAGCGTCAACCAGTTAGTAAGTTAAAAACGACGCTAACCACCTGTATGGTCCTGCTTTAAAATATCATCTCAAAAGATCATTTATTTTTAGATTATCTTCAGACTAATATCACCTCAGAAGATTAGCCAAACATATTGGATCTGTTTTCGTCGTTTGATTGTTATCGTGAAAATTTTCGTTGTCTGTAGGAAATGTTGCGTTCGTGTATTTGTTTTAGTATAGTTAGACAGTTGAAATGATGCAGCAGCAGCATAAGAGAAATTATGTCTGCCCAAAAGTGTAAGAAACATGAAGGAAATTTGCAAACAAATTAAAATAAACACACAGTGTGGCTACATATCAAAGAAAGAATACTGAGGTGCAAGTTGCAACAGACATAGCAGTTGCAACATGCCAACATATATATTCAAACTAAACAGAAACAATTACAGACAGGTTACAAGCACATCATGACCCAGAAGCCTGGAACATCATGAACTGATGATGTTCACCATCGACCACCACCGCCACCGCCAGGCCCACCGCCTCCAGGCCCACCACCACCGCCGCCGCCACGTCCACCACCACCACCGCCCCCAGGTCCACCGCCGCCCCATCCACCGCCGCCACCAGGTCCGCCCCCAGGTCCACCGCCGCCCCATCCACCGCCGCCACCACCAGGTCCACCGCCGCCACCATGTCCACCACCAGGTCCTCCGCGGAACATTGGCCCACAGCAGTTCTCAAGCAGGCAGCAGCAGCACAGGAAATAAGCACTGCAGTAGTAGTACACACCAAGATGATATAAGTTAGAAAAAATTGAAAACAATGATATAAGCAGCTAGTTGATGAAGCTACATTTTGGATAATTTCACGGATATACTTATATTATCCTGACTAGTTAGACATGATTTTACTCGTAAATAAACAATTTCTGAGTTTTGCTAAACTCACCAATTGGAAATAAGGTTGCCTAGACCGCCACATAGGAAACCAAAGCAATCAAGGCACGGTGGACCTCCTCCCGGTCCTCCTCCTCCTCCTGGCCCTCCTGGTGGCATGTCTCTCTGATGATGATGATGATCTGATCAATCTCTCTCACTCTCTCTTGATCAAAAAAAGCCCTAAGGATATTTCTGCAGCTTCCTTTCTTAATGAACTTGCAATGCAGCTATTGAAGTTTGTCCCCTATATATACATGAAACTCTTGTAGAGAGAGAGCGAGAGAGAGCACGCTTAATGGCTAAGTATACATGCATGAAACTCATGTCGGCTGTATAGTTTCATGTCGGCTAATTAAGTTAACACTTATAGAGAGAGAAAACGAGCGACCTTAATGGCCGCGAGAGAGAGAGAGAGAGAGAGAGAGAGAGAGAGAGAGAGAGAGAGAGAGAGAGAGCGAGCGAGCTTAATGGCCAAGTATTGTATTCAATATCCTTGATATTTCTCCATCTTTTTACTGGTAGGTTGTTAGATTGAAAAAGCAATGGGATCTCTGTTGTTTCATCTACTTCTCGGGCAAGTAACAAACCAAATGTTCATGCATAAACCTAACGTTCAAACCTCCCCTTTTGTCCCCAACAACATAAAAATAAGGGTAATGTTAGGGAGACTAAATTTTGTAAACCAAATAATTTGGATGCTAATGATTGAATGATTACTTAAGTGTTGATTAACGTGTTTATTTTCTATTGGTAACACGTCATTTGATTTGCAAATTTAGTTTAAAATTTGATCACCCTAACATTATTCTAAAAATAAATGTAAATGGAAAAGGGTTTACCGTGGCACCATAGCAAAAAGTTCATAATATATATGTATTGACTTTTTAACTTTTTTAACACAGACGTCCTATACGTGGACCGACCATTTTTTTTATATATTGTTGCAGTTTTGAAAAAAAAAAAAAAAAAAAAACACTAGATTAAGCTAGTTCCTAAGTTTTTTTAGTCGGTGTTATGGTATGCACACCATCATCGATATAGCGTGACACGTACCTACACGATTTAAACTTAATAATTAGTACTAATCTCTAGCACCAGCCACTAGAGTTATGTAAATAGCGTATGTATTATATTTCACTGTTTGAGGTGGGATTGAATATAGTATGCACAACTAGAATTGAAGGGTCATATATCAAATGATATGATTCTCATTCAAATTGCAGTATTTTTAGGTTGAGATCAAATAACGGAGATTTTTCAGTATGCACTGATGTATAGCATATATAAATTTTTTTTATCACTAACTCTTGAATTGTTGATCATTGGTTGCACATCTAACGCTTCATTCATTCGTTGTGTGTCATACATGAGATCATAGTAGAATTTTCGTAAGAGCGAAATGAATTAAAGCAACTTTATCACAATGAAGAAGGACGACCGACGTGCATGGTGCAATCTCAGCGTTTAGGGTTAGGGTTAGAACCCCAAACTAACGGACGCGTGCCACCTTTTTATAAGAGTCGTTGGCACGACAGTGTGTTAAGGGTATAATGGTACCAAATGACTTGAAACAACAAGAAAGAGACGAAAGATGAAATAAGAATTAGAAAATAACTATAAGATATTAATGCAGATCCATTCTGTAGCTTTTACCCAATTATACGAACATTTTGCTTCAATTTTAAAGAAATGTACTGTACTGAACATTTAGTATTACGGTCTAGTGATATTCGTTTTCATTTGTGACTGAGATGTTTTAAGTTTGACTCTTGTCAAATACGAATTTGAACCACATTATTGTTAACCCATTATGAGCTAAGCCCAATGACACGAAAATATGACTCACAGTTTTCAATTAATTTTCTTAACTTTTAAAAATCCATCATATAACCTCTCTTCTTCATTTTCTTCATAGCGTAACCTTTTAAATTTTTCATGCGCGGCATTCCAAATAGTTCTACGGGACGGAACTCCGTTACAGCTATGTTTCGAGCACAACTATTTCTTTTTTTAATTGAAATTTCATTTTTTCCAACTTAAATATTAAGTAAAGAAAATTAACTCTATGGCTTAATATATAAGAGGAAAAACTGCTTCCAAATAGTTTATAATAATTTTTTTAATGCTTATGGAAAAAATTTTGCGAGAACACAAAAGTCGCACTTTTCACAAAAAATTGTGGACCAACACGGGTTTTTAATCATAAACCTTATTTTTGTGACATTTTCTGTTGATACAAGTTTCTTTGTGACAAGTGATTGGTAGGGGTTTCAAGGGAGAAACCAATTGTTATAATATAATTAGTTAAAAAATTTCAACCAACTATTTTATTTCATTTGGTGTACTGAACAGTGTTTTGGACACACAAAAAATCTCTCGTTTCAAAGAGGAGAGGCAGGAAACAACATTGATGACAAGCACATGAAAGTTCTTGTTTGAGCTCTAACCTAGGCAAAGTTAAATGGCAACTGCCATGTGTGGTTTTAAATTTCAAACTGCCAAACATCGATATTTTTCCTCTTTCGGTTTTCTGATTAGTGCTGTACGAAGAAATTTCAGTTTTGAAACCCTAATTGTTGGAGAACAATTTAGAAACAACAAAACAACAGAAATACAGAACCGAAATACTTATACTTTATTATTAAAATACTTGCAATATAGAATGCAATTACACAATAATTACAAAAAATTAAAATGATACTAACTTGAATGAATTGAAGGTAGATGCTAGCACAAAAACTATGTCCTTCAAATAGTATTTCCGTCCATTCTTGTGTTTGTAGTTCTACAACGTCTGCTCGACCAGGGTACAACTACCTAATTCTACAACCTGCACTGGATTATAGAACTCTAGCGAATTGCTTTGTGTGTTTACTCTCTGAAAATTTTGTACGGAAGATAAGGAGAAAGAAAAGATGATTTTTGATGGACCTGAGGACTCCGGTCATATAGGCTATTTCATACATCTTCAAACACATTTTGGAAAAAATTTTCCAAGTGTCGGGAACACCATGTTCCCTCACACATTAGGATTTAGTTTTTTATATTTATTGAAATATAAAATTGAAGGATATTCAAGATGTCAAATCCTCCATGCATTGGAAAAATTTCTCCACATTTTGGATGTATATGAAGCTATACAACTCTTATTAATCAAAATGTTTTTCATTAATTTAATTAAAAATTTAATTTGAAATTAAAATTAATTTTAATTCCTTGACCCCAACCTCAATCCTCATTCCAAATAATCCAACACCTCACAATTAATAAAAAGGACTTGACCTATATAAAGGCCTTTGACAAATTGTTGTTTCCCGATGTGGGACAATGGGAGCTCAAAACTCCATCACTAATTTCCATGGCAATACAATACGATATAATAGTCTCATGGAACACTTCTAAACGATCAATCTTCGATTCAAGATAGCTTCCGGGAGTGAACCACCCGTACAAAAGTTTCCGAAGACCTCTAGCCGAAAAAAGGAAACAGCTTTTGTACCTCATCTTATTCCCTAAAAAAACATGTTTTCCTTCAAGTTGATTAATTTCTGTACAACAGATCACACATGCATCACAATATGGCCGCCAGTCCAACAGTCTCTCCATCGTCCGCTCTGGTTTCTGTGGTGTTGGCTGTTCTGCGAGGCCTCGCTGAAATTATGATTGCAGCAGGTTAGTAAAAATATACCCAGTTGACTGACTAGCTATTGCATAATTATACAGTTTTTTTTTTTTTACACGAAAATATATCTTCAAATAGGAAAGGAAAAGATAAACTCGAACCTTAACCTAAAGTGAAATGCAGATTAAGAAGGATGCATAAAAGCTGGGAAAAGAGACAGAATGCATGAGATGATTGTGAAGTCAGTTAAGTGGGCTTACTTGATACATTTGTTATGATATTTACGCTTTTCTGAACAGCAAGTGCTTTTAACTAGTTACCAGTAGCTAATACGAGCAAGGTTTTCATATGTTGCTTTTGTTATTTGGGATGTCTTCGTCAAAGCTTCTTCAAAAGCAAGCAAATCATGCTGTTTGATAAAAGGGAGCGAAAGCAGAATCTAGGCAACCCAATAAGCACGTCAATCAAGTTTCTTACGATAATCAATAATTATAGTATAATCACTACCATCATAACCCAAAATATTAGATAGCGTAAGGTACCGTACCGTAACTAACCTGCCTAGTAGGGATGGGCAAAATACCCATGAGTTTGGGTACCGCAGTTGCCCGCCCATTTAAAATTCACGGTTACGATTATGGGTAACTGTTTAGACGAACAAATGGTTATGGGTATAACCATTTATGTGAAATTTAAATAGGCGGTTATGGGTATTATTGACGGTTATAACGGGTATCCATCGGTTATGGGTATTATCCATGGTTATAACAAGTATCCATTTACCCATTTAATTTAATATATGTAAAATTTAAAAAACTAATCTTTATTTTTGTTTTTTTACTTTTGTAACGAAAGACATCTTTGTTTATATATTGTAATTTTCAATATATAACGGTTATAACCGGTTACAACGGGTACTATATCTGCCACAGATTGTATTCCATTGCCGCAGTATGTGCTTACCAGTGACTTCAATTCATTTATGTTTATATATTTTGTATTGAGATCATAGAGCCTTCCCGGCATGTATCCGTAGACAGGAAAGATATGAGGTGAAGCCTCAGTACAAGAATTGTCATATAACACAAAAACTTAAAACAAAATCTGGTCTGGACTAATGACAAGGTTCGAAAGAGAGTTTAGAACAGATACATACCATCATCTGAAATAGCATGAGACGGTAGAGAAAGCCGAGCATTTGTGATTCCAGAACTAGCTAGGTCTTGGAAAGACTGCTTATTGATATACCCATTATAACGATATACTGGTAAGCACACACCGCAGTTATAATGGTTATAACAAAAATTATGACAAATTTTACTTTTGTAATTTTCAAGTTGTTAAAAAAAACCATGTAGACAGGTGAAAAAAGTGGTAAATGGGTAAAAAAAAGGATAAACGGGTAAATGGTTATGGTTAAATGGGTAAACGGTTATGGTTAAATGGGTACATGGTTATGGGTATGGTTAACCGTTTATAAACGATTATGGTTAAATGGATAAACGGTTACTTTTTATAATTTTCAAGTTGTTAAAATAAACGGTTATGGTTAAATGGGTACATGGTTATGAGTATGGTTAAATTTTCTATCTTCCGATCACAAATCTTGTAGATCTAGTAGAGGGAACTCAAATTTGCTTGAATTTGTGGTTGAAATATGTGTTTGGTATTGGAAGTAGAAGTTAAAAAGGAAAAAATATATGTATATATCTATAAAAACCGATGTAAACCGTAGATCGACATAAATCGAATCGAAACCGGACCGAACAATGCGATTTCAATAATAAATTTAAGCGGAATTATACTGAACTGAACCGTTTATATTTTTCGATTCTAGTTTTGATTCGATAGTGGAACTAGACCAAACCGGACCGTGACCACCGTATCTCCATCAATTCACATCTAGATATTTTATCATTTAAACAATAAAAAAAAAATGTAAAATTTAATATAAAATAATATTTTCTCTTTCTTCGTCAACTTTTCTCACTCTCTTCTTTTTCCTGATGGGCGGAAAACAAAAATACCCTGAATTGAGAGGATTTGTGCCGAATGATGGACGAATTGAAAGGAATTTCTGCTGGTTGATGGACTCTTATTCCCATATTTTTCTACTATGTAGTTTTATCAGTTCTATAGTAACAAATAGGTGCTGTGTGGCCCATTCTTGAACATATTTACATTCTGGAGAAATTGCAGACTTGTAACTTGTATTACCATTCCAATAACTGCCTTCCAGAGAAAGAACTATTATTCCCAGAGTATGAATTTCCACAATTAGAATTGCCATTTTGAGACTGTTTGCCATTACTCGAGAAATGTGCACTGTTGTTGCCATCCATTTTTCCATTTCTGTTGCCAAAATTGCCATTACCAGAATACTGTCTTGAATTTGTATTCCCATTATTCAACCTCCTATTGTTACCAAAGAAATTTCCTCTTTGTTGATAAAACCTATTTCCATTGTCAACATATCCATTTCCTCACTGAAAACCAAATTGATCTCCATTATAATCTTGTTGGCTTCTCTGAGTATTAGAACTTTTTCCATGTTCATATTCCCCTTGAAATCTCTGAGAACTAGATCATTCTCCTTGTACCACCCTTGTAGACATGAATGTACTTAGTGAATGCATTCTTGATTCAATACTTATTTCAGCCCCAATCAGTTGTGCTCGAAAATCTATCAAAGACATAGTTGTTTCTCTAGCAAGAATCACTGTCTTGATCATCTCAAAATTAACCGGTAGTCTTGATAGCACATCAATCATATAGTCATTATCAAATACCTTTTCACCAGCAGAAATTAGTTAATCCCTTGTAGCCTTCAATTTTACCATAAACTTCTTAACATATTCTCCACCCTTTTGTAAAGAATAAAACTCAGTCTTCAATTGATTAATTTGAACCACAAAAATAGATGCAAACCTTTCCTGCAGGCATGTACATGCTTCTTGGGAAGTCTTACACCCAATGGCATACTCCATGGCATCATCAGACGGAGTTGCAATCAATAAACTAAGCAATGCCAAATCCTTCTTTACACAATTCTTATATGCTGTTGTGACTTCTTTTGTAACACCAATTTATGTATCGATTACAAACCTTACAAACCTTGGAGGACGAGGTGATTCCCTTGTAAGGTAATCAAACAGATCATATTCCCTTAGCACCGATTGGAATTGATAACTCCACTTAACAAAATTGTCATCTTGGAGTTTCACCGTAAGCATACCCAATAATCCTTCAATCTTCACCGACTCAGATATTGTTGAACACCAAGAAAGTGTTTTACAAACCAAGCACAAGAAATTCCCAGAAAATTCCTTCAAACAAACTTTTGAATAACACTATACTTCGGCTTTGACTTCGGCCTTATGAAATGCAGAAAAACCCAGAAAAACTACAGAAAACTTTTGAATGTTCCTTGCAACTTCGGCTTCAGCCTTTGAAGTGTAGAAAATCAACAAATCTTCAATCTTTGATACAGAAAAAATGGCTTTGGCCTTATATTCTTTCAGTCTTTAACTGCTTTGGCCTTATATTCTTTCAGTCTGTAACACTTTCAATCTTTACTACTCACATATGGCATCGGCCTTTAATTCATCAAGGAAATATATGCGAAACCCAGAAATCTTCTCACTTAGACATTTAATCGAACATCTGATAGACTTAAAAACTAGAAAACAAGAACTAATGAATCTGAGAAAATCTGCAACCTTGAATTTCGAAAAACACTAAAATCTTGAACGCATGAGATGAATGCACCCAGAAATCCTTGCATGAAGCACAACGGAAAGCAGTCCTAGGATCAAACCTGGACGAGTGATACCCTCATAACATAACTAAAGAAATCACAAATGAAGAAATCACTGGAAGCAATAAAGGCTCGAAAGCTTAGAGAGAGAAAGAGAAATGAGAGTTTGTTATTTTCTGAAATGATTTTCCACACTTCTTACATTGTTATCTCACCATATATAAAGCTTGAGAATCATGCTGTTTGATACAAGGCAGCGAGAGCAGAATCTGGGCAACCCAATAAGCACGTCAATCAAGTTTCTTACGATAATCAATAATTAGATTCTAATCACTACCATCATAACAAAATATTAGATAGCACAAGGTACCGTAAGTAACCTGCTTAGGAGTTGGATCTCTGTCGCAAAGATGTATGTAAGTTCACTTAAGGCGAACGTTAGGCTCTTACGGTTTGCATGGTTTTTCAAAGTGTTTTCACATAACTTAATGAGTTTTGCATATGAGGATTGTTATTGGTACTCTAAAAATCTCATTCTACACTCCAAACTTTCTATATTTGAAAAAAAAAAATACATTTGTGAGAAGTGTAGAATGAGATTTTTGGAGTGCCAATAACAATTCCCTTGCATATTTATATTTGATTTGAACATCACAGACAGATGTATATATGTTTAGATATATGTTTTCACTTAAACATCGTAAAAAAAAAATAAATAAATAAAGAAAAAAAGAAGATAAGACTTATGGGCATAGCACTTGCATGATTTTATTATATAGATTAATAGGTTGGGTAATCGAACACGATAAACAATAGAAAGGTCACTGGTTAGGCGAGGAAAAATAAACACTCCTTCAACTGAGACGTGGAAATTCACGTGTAAGCAAGTCCATTAGAATCTTCCTAGCTAGCATCTCCATTCCATTCCTCTCACAATCACATTCATGGACAGATATGCTGATATTTACATGCAAATGCAAGTGTAACTGTCCATGAATATGCGTAATTATCCATGAATGTGTGAAAGACTACATTCATGGACGGATATGCTGACATTACATATTTTGTTTTGGCTGTTTGTAATTCAAGCAAGATTAGAGTCTTTCATACTAGTACGTGGCATATACCGAATGCGTGAAAGTTATGTATACGTAGAAGAAGCTCCAGATAAAGCCAAAACAAATAAATGAAAGATAACTTTCCAAATGCTTTATCATACAGCTCACATGGGACATAAACGGAATCTTAGGATGTCTCGTTTACGCCTTCCTTCGTATTTGATGGACATGTGTCCACTACTTATCCCAGAAACTAAGACCGTTAACTTTCATAGGGACCATAGAACTTAGGATGCAATTCATGATAGGCATGTGTGGCTAATGATTGAAGCTGACGAGGAATCAACCTTAAGTATACCAAATCTCCCACTGCAAACTTCCATTCACTTTCATTTAAGAAAAATTAATAAAAAATATTTGAAAATTTTGAGTTTTAATGATAAGGACAAAATAAATGGTAAAGTAAATAGTATCAGAATTGATTTTTTTAGTGTAAAAATATGATTTTTCATTAAAATGAACAATACCGTAGACTTTTCGTTAAAACTCCTTTTAATTTATGATAGGCATTCGGCCTTTGTACGGTATACCGAACCGAACCGAGCCAAAACATATTATAATATATATATATATATATATATATATATATATATATATATATATATATATATAGAGGGGATAGGATCAAGGGACAAAGATTTTGACAAACACTTTTACACTCCTTTGTAGCCCTTGGATCCTATAGCATTCAATGGTCTAGATTAAGAATGATGTGGAGATTGTTAAACATTAAATAACTTGGATGATTTTGTGGATTATAACTAATAAGGAAAACACAAATTTAATTTAAATTAAATAGAATTATCTAATAAAATAAAATATAAAAAAATAATCAAAATTTGAACTGATAAAGAAAGAACGTAAAACCCATAGTGAAGAACACCCAAGAAAGGTACGGAGACAAATTGATGTTCTTGCGCCTCACTACCTGTGATACTCTAATTCAATTGATATGAAATTTAGATGCACAATACAACAAATCAAGCTATCAGTCTCTTGAATCTTCTCATAACAAAACCCTAAATTGTAAATCTTCAATCTTGACTCCTGGATTTCACTTTTTTTTACTTTTTTTTAATTTTAAATACGGTGCAAATGAATGGTTGATGATTTTGTGGCTGTAGAAATCTCAAACATGCTTGACTCGAAACGGTTTTGCTATGGAGGTGGCAAAGTGATTGAGTTGCTACCCTAGGATTAGGGTGCTTAATTCAAAACAAATTATTGTCAAAGCAAAACTCTTTCTGCCTGGTATCATGTTTTTCTATAATTAGGGTTCTTTGTTTTTTTTTTTTTTAATTTTTTACCCTGGATATTTCAAAGTTTGATTATTTCTTTTTCAATTTTAGTATTATTTGATATTCTTTTTACTTAAATTAGTGTTTTCCTTATTAATTATATTCCACATAATCAACCAAGTCATTTATTTTTAAAAGCCTCCAAATCACTCTTAATCAAGATCTTGGATCTTATAAGATCTAAAGGCTATAAAGGAGTGTAAAAATATTTGTCAAAATCTTTGTCTCTTGATCCTATCCCTATATATATAGGTGTGTGTTTTAAAAATCGACTTAGACGCTCAGTCATGAGTTTGCGTGGCGATTTTGGGCAAAACGTCAATAAAATTGGGGATGATTTAGGCGGCACAAGGCGACGCTAGGTGGTGCTAGGCGGAATGATAGGCAAAACCTATAAACTCTGCAAACCAAGAAACACAGAAACTGAGAAGCTGTAAGCAAACCCAAAAGCTCTCATCTCAGACTTGAAACCCAGAAGCTCTGTGCATCCTACAAACCCAAAAGCTTTGTGCAAACCCAAAAGCTTCGTACACCCATTCATTGACCGCCATATCAAAAGAGAGACCCAACAATTTATGAAGCAGAAACAGAGAGTCCCAACAATTTATGAAGCCAAAACAGAGAGACCCAGATAAAAAGATTCAAAACCCAACAATCAAAAGCTCAGATAACGATTGTTTCCAACTCAATTTTACAAATTTATAAAGAAGAAAAAGGGAGTTTTATGAATTTTCCTGAGAAAATACTGTTTTTTCTCAAAACCCAGATCTCATAATTTCACAATTACCATTTAAGAGGATTGAGTTACCTATTGCTCATGAAGGCCTTCCTACACTGGAAGTGCTCTTATGCTTTGCATGCAATCTATGTGTCTTTTTCCTCATGAAATTTCCACCGTGAGAAGAATCCCCTAGGGGATAGCTGATTTATCCCCTTCCCCCTTTAAAACCCTTTCAGCCACTAATAAAAAATTATAAAAAAATTAATTAACAATACAAAAAATACTTAAAAATAAATAATTTATTTTTAATAAATATCTAACCATTTTCTTTCACTTTACATCACATTTCAATACTTTCAACCAATCTTTTATTATTATCCAAAATTAAAAATAAAAATAATTTTCATTATTTTATAAAAAGTAATATTATTTTAATACGAATTGCCTAGGCTATTTGGTTTAAAGGTGGAGATGCACTTAGTAGTTATTGTTCATTAAAGGCACTTATTTTTCACTTGGGGGGATTGAATTGCCTATTACCTAGGGAGTTTTTTAGGGGTAGAAGTGCTCTAAACTCAATAGGGTCTCTACACTTTATTTACATTTTTACAAATTCTCAGTACAATACAAGTATATGGTTTTTTGAAGTGTAAATAGACACTTGTTTATAAAATATTTTATAAATTTACTTAAATCCGCCTAGTCTCCTGGACTGTTGAATTGGTTGAAATTTAATCTCGACCATCAAATCTAGGTCAATGACCTCTCTCTGTTCTGTCATTTTGAACTCCGCCTCCTACCCCAATCCCTCTCCTTTCGACGAAAGCTCTCATCTCTCTTGACGCCACCTAGCTTCCTACTCAGCGGCATATCTAGAATTGTAAGATTGGGTGGTCCCACTATAAAAGTTCCAAAAAATATTAGACAAAAAATAACATTGAAAGATTAAATCATAAACCACAACCTTTTATTCAGAATCTTTGTACAAACAACATTATAAATTACTAAATGTCCACGATGTGCTTTCATACTCGATAGCGTGTCTAGATAACGTGTCTATGACAGACTTATGGTCAACTGGAGCACATCTATCCAAAACATGACTGAAATTATTCAAAACTGAAATTGAAGGATTTGATTTGTGGAAACTGGAGAAGAGACTAGTCTTGTGCTGGTGGGCGGCCTTGGTACGTTGGCTGGCGTGGGGTTTGGGATTAGCCAATTAGGAGTTAGGAATGGAATTGGACGTGGGCAATTATCTCTGCCCCAAAAAAGCATGTACAATTATCTTTGCCCAGCAGTACGTACGGGGAAATTATCTCTGCCCAGAAGTGTACGTAAGAAACATGGAGATTTGAAAACTGAGTAAATTACACACAAAATTTGAGTAGATATCAAAGGGCAAACACTGATAAGCCAGTTGCAACATACTAACACATCTCGCTTGTTTATTAGTTATATTACATTTAAGATTTGCGAACTGATTAAATTACACACGAACTTTTGGTAGATATCAAGGGACAAACACTGATAAGCCAGTTGCAACACTGCGTTTGCAACATGCTAACACATCTCGCTTGTTTCTTAGTTATATTACATTTAATCACACTCAAACAGAAAACATTACAGACACGATATTGTGATCAACAAGCCTGGAACATCACGATTGTTCAATAACCGGTATTAGCAGGTCCCTGATTAGCTCCCAGAGCAGCTCCCAAACAAGCCACTGCAACTCAAAACATTAGTACTGCAGTAGCAACACCAAGATGATAATAACGTAGAAAAAACTTTAAAACAATAATAATATAAGCACACAGACATAAAACCACCCTTATCCTAATTTTGCGTCTGAACATAATTTTACTCGTAAATAAGCAATTTTTGAATTTTGCCAACTCACCAACATGTTAGCAGTGCTTGAGAGCATGATATCACTGCATTACAGAGGTCACATAAGCAACAACAGCACGACCGTCCTCCTCCCCGCGGTCCCCCTGTTTGTGCCATTCCTTTCTGATGATGTGATCTCTCTCTCTTGATCAAAAAAGCACTGTGGTGGATATATATTCTACAGCTTCCTTTGCTGAAATGATGTTGAGATTGTATCAGCTATATATAGCGGAGCCAACCGGTCCTGACCTAAGGTTTCAACATCAGGTTCCTAAGGTTTATTGAGTTTTCACAAAACCCCCTCATGTTTTAGATATTACACTAACATCATTTGAGATTTTAATTCACTTATAGCTAAAGAACACAACTTACAGCCTTTCTGAGCTGGTGCGTGTGCTTAACTATGGTCACGGACAGGCTGAAATTCTCCATAGCCTTTCCGGGCCTCGAAAAGAGTGAATATCCATGACTTGTCACTAGTTGTCTCTTAAAAAAAAAAAAAACTACTTTGTTGTAAGTAGTTGTGTGTGTGTGTGTGTGTGGCTTTTTTTTTTTTTTTTTTTTGTCCATTTTCTTTACATGCAACAACACAGTGCACAATGAATATACTTGGATTGGAGAAAAAACCAAGGATTTCTGAACTGCAGGAGTGAACGACATAGACGTCGAGAATTGCCATTTTCGTTCCGTTTAGGGTTTCAGAGAGCGAGGGAGGTCTTCATCGCAACAAATTTGTTTCCATCACCAAAGCCTCGAATTTGCAGAGCTAAATTTAGAAAGAAAAAAAAAGCTATCAATTCAAATTCATCACCAAAAATCAGAGATCCTAAAACTTCCACCGTGGAGAAAAGTATTAACAATTGCGAAAAGGAAAAGAACAGAAATTTGAAAAGGAAAAAACAGTAACAAAAATGAAGAACAACAATTGAAAAGAAAAAATTACAATCGAAAAAACCATCTGATTTTGAATATTACAATGATGAAGCAATTCGTAGGATGATGAGTCAGTCGAACTTGCAACGCAATGAGGAGTGTGCAATCTCCTTATGTTTGGGCTAGAGGGACGTCCAAATCCCACAGATGCGCTTTGTATCGACCGGTCCATCGGAGCCTGAGCAACACAAATGCATCAAGAAATCGGAAAAACTCGGCATCTTGGCAACTGTTCTTTATGGTTTCATACAACCAAAGTCAGACGGTTGGCTAAAATTATTCAGCAAAGCAGCAACAAAGTCAGATGGACTAATCCTGGCACTGCATCTGCTACTTGTTCCCTTGGCTTCTAAACTGGAAAATCCCCAAATGGGCAATCCACTCGACAAGGAAGATCAAAGTGTATAAACAAAAAAATCCTCACCTTTTTATATTCACCTTTTTATAAACAAAAAAATTCATTATGATTGTTCCCTCGACTTATCAAAACGTACAGTTATGATCTCTCAACTAAAAATTCATTATCATTGATCCCTCAACTTTAACCCAACTAGAGAAATGGTCCCTCAACTTAAATTCAATTGGAGAAAGAGTCCCTTAATTTTAACCCAATTGTAGCAATGATCTTTTCAACTTAACTTATTTTGACAAAATTTTGACCGTTGGCAAAAATGACCATTAGCTACACGTTTTGATGAGTTGAGGAACACCAATGGTAACAATGGTAATTTCAATATAACTTATTTTGACAACATTCTAACGAAGTTGATAAAAATGATTTTGATGAGTTAAGGGACCAATGGTAATGAATTTTTAGTTAAGGGACCATTGTTACAAATTATTCTTAAATATAGAATTAATTATTTACTTTTAGATCATTAAGACCATTTCCAAATGAGATGTCAAATCCTAGATGGAATTCCATATAATCAAATTTGAAGGTAGGAGTGAGTTCCAACCGATATGTCAATCCTATCTGGATTGACATATGAGAAAAGGTGATGCCAATTTTTTTTAATTATTTTATTATGCGGATCCTATTAATACACCAATTATAGATCTTGAAAAATGTATTTTAATTGATTTCTTTTTAAAATAGATCCTACAAATATCATTTATAACAAAGAAATATATTCGTTGGAAAAAGAGAAAATTTGACATTATCATATCAGCCATCAAATTAACATTTGACATTTATTTTTTGACATTTCCTTTGGAGATGCTCTAAGAGTGTAAATGTTTTCTTGGTAATATAAATATTTAATATTACTTATTAGATGCATTGTATCAAAGGAAAACTAATGAAAATAATTTGAAAACTTTGAGTTTTAACGATAAAGATAAAATAAAGGCTAAAGTGGATAATATCAAGATTGATTTTTAATGTAAAAATATGATTTTTCGTTAAAATGAACAGTAACGTGAATTTTTCGTCAAAGTTTCTCTTGTATCAATTGTATTAACAAAAACAATTTGTTTATTGTCATTTTTATTTAAAATTCTTTATTTAAAACCGTTCTCCGCTGGAAAATCTATTACCTGACGGGTTTTGTTACTGGAAAAACCCGTTTGGAGATTCGATTTCGGGTTAAGAGAAAATAAACGGATTTTTGGGTATTGGAATAGCACATCAAAACCCAATTCAGCCTGTTGCTATCTCTAATCCAGTGGTAGACGAGGCCGAGGGAGAAAGCGACAGGGTGTGGGGAGCGAAAGGGGAGGAAATCGAGGGCAAATCTGAGCCTTTGGTTGAGGTCGGGGTCGAAGACGTGGAGGCAGGATGCGGAGGGAGGGAGGACGGTAGGGGTTGAGGAATTGGGAGTGTAGACTCTGACATATCTCACGTTGCATTTGCGTATGAACGATTGAATTGCCATGGCGATCGAGCAATGAGCAGAGGGAAAGAAGGTGAGGTTGAGGAAGACGACAGGAAAAGAAATGTATTTTAATTTCTGCCAATTATTTTAATTTTTAATCTTTTAATATTCACGTGGGCCTAAATTGACATGTAACGCAGTTATTATCCATATTGGCGCTAAGTCACACATAAACGACTATTTTAACAGAAAATTTAACAGATGTACGAAAGTATTCTAAAATTATCCCTTAACAGATGTATGAAGGTGTCTTAGAATTACCCCTTTAAGTACCAAACAAGAATGAAAAAAAAAAAAAAAAAAAAAACTTATGTATGAACAATTATAAACATATCTATTTTTACTTCTCACACACCTCTTATTAATTTGTCTATTGATCTTCAATTTATCCGATCCGATGGTTAAAAATTAAAAAGGTATGTAAGAAGTAAAAATTGATGTACGAATATCACACCCAATTTTATAAACCCAAAACTTTAAATCTCTAACAACCAACATCTCCATATCGATAAAGCACAACCCCAACCAAACCACCACACCCCAAGGGGCAGAGCGCCACCCAAAAGAGTGGAAAAAACTAAAGGGGAGGGTTGAATTTTTTTTTTTTTCAAGTTTCCAAACACCCTGTATTATTACACTTGGTATACCGGACCCTGTTCCGAAAACGCTAACAAATCTCTCGTTTCAAAGAGAAGAGGCAGGAAACAACATTGATGACAAGCACATGACAGTTCTTGTTTGAGCTCCAACCTATGCAAAGTTAAATGGCAACTGCCATGTGTGGTTTTAAATTTTAATCTGCCAAACGTCTATATTTTTCTCTTTCGGTTTTCTGAGTAGTGCTGTACAAAGAAATTTCAGTTTTGAAACCCTAATTCCATGGCAATACAATACAACATAATAGTCTCATGGAACACTTCTAAACGATCAATCTTCGATTCAAGGTAGCTTCCGGGAGTGAACCACCCGTACAAAAGTTTCCAAAGACCTCTGGCCGAAAAATGGAAACAGATTTTGTACGTATTCCCTTAAAAAACATGTCTTCCTTGGAGTTGATATAATTTCTGTACAACAGATCTCACATGCATCACAATATGGCCGCCAGTCCAACAGTCTCTCCATCGTCCGCTCTGGTTTCTGTGGTGTTGGCCGTACTGCGAGGCCTCACTGAAATTATGATTGCAGCAGGTTAGTAAAAATATACCCAGTTGACTAGCTATTGCATAATTATCCTGTTTTTTTTTGTTTTTTGTTTTTTTTTTATACGAAAATGTATCTTCAAATAGGAAAGGAAAAGATCAACTCGAACCGTAACCTAAACGTGAAATTCAGAATAAGAAGGATGCATAAGATGATTGTGAAGTCAGTTAAGTGGGCTTACTAGATACATTTGTTATGACATTTACGCTTTTCTGAACAGCAAGCGCTTTTAACTTGTTACCAGTGGCTAATACGAGCAAGCTTTTCATATGTTGCTTTTGTTCTTTGGGACTAGATGTCTTCGTCAAAGCTTCTTCAAAAGCAAGCAAATCATGCTGTTTGATACAAGGGAGAGAGAGCAGAATCTAGGCAACCCAATAAGCACGTCAATCAAGTTTCTTACGATGGTCAGTAATTAGAGTATAATCACTAGCATCATAACCCAAAATATTAGATAGCACAAGGTATCGTAACTAACCTGCCTAGGAGTTGGATCTCTATCACAAAGATGTATGTATATATCACGACAGTGACCAATCAAATCAGCACTGATGAAAGCATTTGACTCAAGGGCTAAACCTTGGATAATTGCAGAAAAGAGATCCTTAGAAACAAATTGTAGGAGCTCCATACTATTTGTCGACACTGCTAAACCAATCAAAGCAGAACAAAAGGAAGAAACTTTTGTCATAGCTTCACCATCCGTCCATGTAAAAGCTTCTAAACATATCTGCAGCACTGGAAGGGCAAGACCTTTAAGCTTCAAAAGGAAACTGTAAAAGAAGAAGGAAGAACACTTTGAGACCAGAGAACTTAGGGGAAAAAAATAAAATCCACACAGTTGTACAATTACTACAGTACAAATTAACAGAAGAACTTAAGCCTTGATAAGAACCATATCAATCAAACATACCCGACCATGGAGCTTGATGCAAATGCATCCAAATCTTTGAGCGAAGATACGTCAACACGATGAACATGCCCAGAGTGCTCCAAGGAAGGAAGCCCAGCATTTAGCTGTGGCGAAGCTATAACAGAGAGGAGTGAACAAATCTCCCGAGTTAGATCCCTAAGTAGCTTTTCTTCCATTACTTCCACTTTTAAGTCCGACCCAGCAAGTATGGCATGGGCATCTGGGACCTTTGCTCTCCCTTCATGTAGAAGACTGGACCAGGAGCAACTAAGAGCCTGTTGGGAGTGTTGGAATAATGGGAGCAAGAGCTTTTCGAACCATGCCTCCCACAAATCCACAGGACAAAATTTAACCAAAGGAATCAAAACTGAATGAACAAGCAGCCGGATATGCCTGAATTCCATTGAATGTATATTCTCCACTAGAGCTAGAGCAACAGATTGACTATCCAAACATTTGTAAAATGAGTCCCCAACAGTGGTTGCCAGGCCCAATACATTGTACCTACAATTATAATAATGTTTTAGTCATTAAACGAAAGAAACCTACAAAAAGGATGCATTTCAAAGAATAAGTTTCAAACCAATTCAAATATAGGAAGACATACCCACTGTCTCTGATACCTTTCAACCAATTTCGTATGTCTGATTCATTTGGCTCCACATATCCTTCCTTACTTGCACTAATATGGGATCCATTGGTAAGGGCTATGTTACCCTTTGGCAATTTAGGGTCTTCACCAAGAAGACTGAATTGCTCAACATCACTCATGGTCATTGCAGCTTTAATCTCCCCAGGTAGTATTTGGTATACAGTTGGAGACCAAAGGGAATGTAAGGCACGAAATAACTGCAGATTGACAACATGAACCAATTACTACCTTCTTGTAGCCCTAGTGAATACAAGTTTCATAAGAAAATAGTCGAGGATGTACGACATTTAGAAGAAGTATGAATCAGGATTTAGGAATTTTAACACAACTAGTTTTCAGGAGCAACATGCATACATTTGGAAGAGGTGGCAGCATCCATGATAGATGAGAAGCCATAGGGTGGAAGGGCATAGAACTTTCTGTTGAGTTGCTTTGTAGATTTGACTGGGATTTTCTGGTTCCACTTCTCTTAAGTGCCTTCTCAAAGAATGTGATAGTGTGGAAAACTGACCACATAACTGGGGTCTCCGAGCACAAGCGAACAAGACCAAGTGGTTCAGATAGATAATTATTTTGCCACGCAATTTGTGTCCATTGCTGGCTTAAAGGTTCTAGTAACCAGGCCAGAACTTCTTGTTGCTGCTGAATTCTGTACAAAGTTTACAATATTCAATAGTAGAACCATCTGATAATAAAAATACATGGTCAATCCATGCAAAAGAAGCATTACCCAGCAGCAGAAGCCATGACAAGAAATGCTTCACCTAGAAGATTGTGTTCACCACGAAGTAAAGAACCTTCTCTTTTCATATAAGCCATGGTGTCGGCTATAGCCTAAATAAAATACCACACAAAAAAGTCAATAAACAGAATGGTATTTTCAAAATCTAAAATCATGTTTCTCTTCAGTGGGTATGCACTTATTGACTGAACATTTTTGTTTCCCTCATAGAGAACCTTGGAATATTTACAGTTCACACCTTTAATTTGGGGAGCATTTGAAAATATCATTTCAATGTTACCAGTAATTTCTCAAATGGCATAACCCCGTAATTCACAATGACCTATTCTTCTAGGAAGCAAGACTACAAATGAATGAATGATGTGGATACGACAGATATGCTGATCTGTCGATTCTTGCAAAGGTTAGGTTGATATAGCCATAGCCAACATATGCTATTCAAGATATAAGAAATTCTGTGAATGCCAGGCAGGCGAGAGAATGGCTACATTAACTGAACATAGAACTGAGGTAATGATACTAAGTATTTAATTTAATTCTATATGTCTTTCATACTAGTGGCATATACTGAAGGCGTGAAAGTTGTGTACACACAAGAAGCACCAGAAAATCAAGGATGTATCAAAGAAAATAGAGTCACCTTCATGTGAGGCAGAACACTTGTGTCAGCAGTTTTGGCTATACGAATAAACGATGTACAAATCTGCAACCTTGCATACCGTGCACTACTTGTAGATGGATCCTGCTGAACAATAATATGATTTCAAAGATTCTCTAAATAAAATGACTAATAAAACGAAATTAAACAACTGAAAATGGACCTTAACAACAAAAGGAAGCGAGTTTAGGAGCTCAAATAATTTATTAATGACACTGCCCACTGCATCTGGAAGATACTTCAAAAATGAACCCATTGCATCCAAGTAGTGCCCAAGTACTTCCACAAGGGCTGGCTCAGTCCACTTCAAAGAAAGAAGCTGCTGAAGCAAACCTTCAAATTAAGAAAAAAATCATATTAAGAAACTCAAATTATAAAAATTCTAATGCTCATACAAAGAAATGTTTCAAAACAAACCTTCAAACATTCTACATAGTTCAAGTTGAACTTCTAAATGACCCCCAGGAATTTCATTTGATCCATCGAAAATAGCGCTTACAACATTTTCTAAAGCCAACTGCATGCTTTCCATCACAACTAAGTCCTGGAATTAGACAGGATGGAGATTTACAAGAACCATCAATGCAAGCAATACTGGGATGCTGGAAACTCAAAAGATAGCAAATTTAATTCTGAAAGTGCTTGTGACCAAACCTGAGCAGGCATTGGGGAAAGCAAGAGGGTTTTGATGATTGTATCAATTCTTTCAGAAACTTTAGAACCAGCTATAAGAGGCTTGTATAAAGCAACCAGCTTGATCAGTTCTAACTGCATTAAGATCATTCATCAGGGAAAGAAACTTTTGAAAAACGCAGGCCAAGGAAGGCCAGGTGAACTATTCTCAAAACTTATAGTGTAAACTAGAAAAGAGAAGCTTCTATATGATGCAAGAGTCCAGACAGCATAAATGGTCAACACGAAAAGAAATGAGTTAGATTTCAAGGTTACTTTAATGGATCCTCTACAGTCAAGGAATGTACCCATCCATCCATGTCTATGTACATGGATTTAATTATTTAACAGAATCCTATCCCAGATCCCAGAGAAACTATACATGTCGTATAAAATTTTATACTAACTGAACTGAAGAAGCATAAGCTAATAAACAGAATGAACTACTTACCAACTTTGAACGATACTGGCCAAAAGTCCCCTTGTCCTCAACATCATCACTCCATAATTCCAATTGCCCTAAAGAAAATGCTGTCCCGTGAATTACCTTTTCTCTCTTGAGCATGTGTTGGAAAGATACATCCAGAATTGCACTACATATATCATCATTCAAAAAACTTAAGATTTTTTTCTTTTCAATATCGACTGGATCAGAACCATCTCCAGCTGAGTGAGCAACAGCCTTTGTCTTTGACATCAAGTCTCTCATTAGAGCCTAAACATGCACATAACATGAAAGACGATTAAACGTGATATGTAGCGTATGACATAGTCTCGATTATTCTTACATTACAATAATAATTGGATCTTCATACCAGCCAAAAGTTCAGAGATTGAAAATGAAGAGCTAGCTTAAAATGTTGGAAAAACCCCAGCATCTGAGAGAAAAGAATAAAATAAGTCATTTTATTTCAATAACCAATCACTTGTTGACAGAACCAAATGAACAAGCAGAAAAGAGTTGCAAATACCCTGATGTTCTAGTTACCTGTTGTAAATAAAGAGGTAGCACAGCGCTATCACCACCAATACATTGCAAGTTTCTGGAACCCAAAGACACCATACTTTCACATATGTATTCCGCAAACTCAATATTGCTTTCATCAATAAGCCCAGCACCGGGGCTAGATCTGTACAAAAATTCTTTGGAGACATTCATCAATATTTGAAAGATATTACTCATTGCAGAATCAAATTCAGGAACAGAGGTATCATCAATAGGTCTCTTCCTGCATGTCACAAATCAGGATAACACAACCATTACAGAAATGTCTTAAGAAGGGGAAAAAGCATACTTAATAACTATATATTAATTGAAAAAGCAATTGAAAATACTATATTTCGTACCTTTGGGAAACAAATTTGAAAAACTCACAAGCATGAAGACGAAAGTCAGGCGAAGAAAGTAAGAAACCACACCTGTACAAGCAGAGAGAGAGAGAGAGAGAGTGAGGAGATAAGAAAGAGACAATTGCCAATGGCTTCAAATCAAAATCCACCAAAACTTCAAAGTAGGATACCATACCCATGAATTATACCAGATTTAGCAAGATCAGGCAATGGAGCCCATTCAGAGTATGCATCCACAGCATTCAAAGTAGCTGTTACTGTTGCTGCATGTTGCTTTGCAAGGTCGAATTGTTGTTTACCTGCCTCACTCAACGCAGCTCCGAAGTGCCTCTCTAGTAACTGCACAATTTAATTCATTCAGACAAATCCATTGTATGCAACTTTTTCTAATAAAATTTAAGAAGCCAGACATACGGTGTATAATAAAGGCAAAATTTCAGGTAAAGATTGGGTCAGCCCCCGCAGCAATAGCCTTCTTCGATCTCCTGTATAAACCATTAAGAATCAGGGTAAGGCCGCATGCAGATATCTAAATCTAGAGAACAAGCATCACATGCATACGCACACGCACTCCACTCAATTCACAGGCAAGAGGAAAAGAGTGCACAAGACACATTTCTGGTCAACCTTCCAAATCTTCATTGTGAACAGTAATATCTTCAGGAAGCCACCTTAGCGTCATGGAGACTAACTCGGCCTAATATTAAAGAGGAATAGGTGATTATCAAAAGCATGTTTTAAATGAAATACAGAGTGAACAAGGAGGAAAAATATTTACTTGAATAGGACCCTTGTAGGATAATGAAACCAGAGTTGGAAACAGTTCTTGCCATAGATTTAGTCCTTCCCTTCTAACCATCTGTAACAGATTAAACAAGTGAGTGTTGCAATGGAAAACTAACCATTAACGGTTTAAATAGAATCAAGAGAAATGCTGTGTAAACCTCGGCAACAAGGGCTGCTGTCTGACTTTTTAATGCCCACTCCTCACTAGGACTTGCAATATCAGACATTAAACCAACAGTGATATTTGCAAAGTTTCTACGCTCTGTAGAGCTTAGTTCTTCCCACCGCAATCGCACCAAATGCTGCGAGAAAAGATGCATATTCTTGTCACGCCATTCATGCCACATAACTTTAAATGGTTACATAATTAGATGCTAAAATTTCAGATAGATTTAGAAGGGGCAATCATTCTATTTGACTGCTAAAAGGTAAAGGGAGACAGAAAACCTATTTCAGAAATTCTTGTAACGACGCATTTACATGACTTAGGGTTTCGGCAATGTTAACAGAAGTTTGATATTTATCAGAAAATTACTTTTACATCTCTGGTTGTAAAGCTTGGACCTTTTCTTTTCTAGACAATTTCTGCCTAATGAACACTATGCCTGTACATGAACCGAGCCCTTATTCCTTTATTATGATCTGAATAAGGTGGGGATAAGAAAACTTAAGTATGCTATCAAGTTCAAAATAATTTACATTACCGGGGTAGTTGGATGTTAAAAGAAACCAATCCAACTAGACCTCTTGATCAAACCATATTATCAAATCAACCAATTACCATCTTCAATGGTCCAATTAGACCACTTAAATAGTAAAATAAATACGATACAACCTCATTACATTATTGAAGAAAATAAAAGAATAATTGACGCAGTTATGGTTTAGTTCCTAATAAACCTTGCATTTCAAATTTGACCTCCTGACAATGGCCTTTGCATCAAACGTAAATATTAAAATAGCTAAAATCAAATAGAAATATGTATAAAGAACACTCCTTGTGATCACATACCTGTAACATTTTAAATGCATGCAACCGAATTTCGGAGGACCAATCCTTCTTCACCAGAAGAAACGCAGTGTTTGCCAAAATCCGCACATCTCCGTTTTTAATCTGCACAAATTAAACAGAATGATTGATCAACAAGGGAAAACGAAATAACTGCTTAAACCAAGTAACTGATTGCACAACATAGCCTTTCAACACTTCAAAATACCAATTACCATGCCGAAACTACACCCGAAAACAACGAAATCATCCTATAAACTCTTTCAACTTGAAACTTTAAGAATGTGATTAAATAATTTGCATTTCGTAGTTTTTCATCCACTACCCATTTCACAAAAGCAACCAAAATTACAAATTTCTTGAGAGAGAGAGACAACTAATAGTTCTAATAAAGCACAAGGTAAAGTTTTCTAGAGAGAATACCGATTCGAGGAATGCAACGGCTGCTTTGCGGGCGTCGGGAGTGGAGCTCCAGTCGAGAGCTACGGCAATGGCTTGGGCGACGTTGGTAGCCACGCTGTTGCTGCTCTCTTCCATTTGCTTTTGCCTTCTGGTTTCTGTGGTTTAAGCCCCCAAGGGTTTACCTTGGTTTCTAGAGAGAGAAAGTGAGATGATGATCGACTGTCTATGTCTGGACGGCGAGAGAGAGAGCTATGAATTTTTTTAGTGGCGGTTTTAGAGAGTGCTCAGTGCTGTGTTAGTGTGTTATGTGGCGGTTTTGTTTTCTCTCTCTTTTTTTAAATTTTTTTCCTATTTTCCCCTTCTTTTCCAAGCAATTTCATTTGGATTCACATTTCAAAGTTTTGCAGTTGTTGGTTAGATCAGTTGAAAAACCGTTTAAGTCACAGTTCTTTTATATTTGAGTTTGTATTCCATTTTCCGCAATGAATGCAGCCAGAGTAAGTTAAGTTAGACAAGTTAGGCTAATTTGCCCGTCCTTTTAAATTTTTTGTTAATTAAAGAATTTAAAAATATGATTTGTTGAGAAAAGTGGGAGTGAGGCATTCCATTTTGTTTATTTATTTTTCCTTTTTTTGGTATGGGGTTTCTTAGGACGTGTCATTTAATAAAAAATGAATTAAACGTCTTTTTTGGAAAGATAATTTGCCAGATTTCATACCATGATTGTCCATAAATTATACTTTGATTAAAAAATTATTATTTAGGGTTCAACATTCTTTGTAAATTTTTTGGACAAAGAATTTGTTCTTTCTTTATTTCTACATTTTGCCTTTCTGTGGTTGCTTTAATGAAAGGGTGATTCCAGGGATTGTAATTTATACAACTGCTCATTTTTATTTTTTATACACTTCTTGTTAATTTTTTATATATGATATTTTTCAATTTATTTGATCCGACAATCGAAATTGTGAGAGGTGTATAAAAGATGAAAAGGATTGTGCGTAACATCACTCAATTTCAAAATTTCATCTGACCTTCTGAACCAACTCTTGAATTTGTTAGATAAAGCTTGAGTTGACAAGCGAGTGCATACATAAATAAATAACAAACACATCATCATTTGATGAACAAAACTTGACGAAGAATCTTGACGTATATAAAATTGGAGAACAAACTAATAATCAAGATGAAGATATACATAATAAAGGCAATTTCTCTCACCAATCCACCATCCAACAAATTGAAAAATGAACAAACAAACAAAAACAAAACGATATCTCGTAAATATTGGGAAAGAAAAATAAGGTAATTGGATAAAAAAAAAAATATTGTATTTACCCCTGCATTTCTAATGAAACAATTACACTGCTCGAAGAAGCTGGGGCTGATAAACTCACTCCGGCACCAAATCCAAACTCCGAAACTCAGGATGGTAAAGAGGCATCCAACATTTCGTAATTAAGTTCCCGAACCTCGGGAGTTCGTAATTACGTTTGTAAGAATATGAACATGGGATTGGATATTTTAACGGTGAATGATTAAGTCCGATTGGAATAGGAAAGCCTTATGAGAAGTTGTGTGCAAAATCCTTGTTTGTGAAGGATTCTGTTATAGTACGTAAACTGATAAGGATTGGAAAATATAAGTTGTTTTCTATAAAGATTTTAATAGGGAATCCTTGTCAAGTTATGAAAAGGATGTATATGTGCTTGTATATATATATGTTGTAACCTCTGCTCTCACAGATGTGCGTGCGATTAAGAACTAAGCCCTATTCTTAGTTAGAGCCTTAAGCAATCTGACAAAGAGGAGAAGGATTGCAGTGCACTGAGCTTGGACAGCATGGCGTTTTCCAATGGAGGTTCATCAGGTTAGTAAGATTGCAGTGTTCTACATGCAAAAGATATTGTGCTTTCTTGATTGTAATTACTGCGACTTAATCTTGATCTTGGCAACATAAATCTTACAACGTTCCCATCGTATGAACTCGCGTTCAAGCCGCACTTCTCTTTCCTCTAACACGAGCATCGTGATGTTTCTCTCTATGGTTTCCTGTATAGGATTTTGAAGTTTCTCGCCCATCGTGTCCGGTATGTTTCTTCCGTCTTGGACCACCGGCAGAAGCAGGGTCGACCAACGGACCTGACCAACCTTATAGTGACTCTTTAAGGTAACTGAATGAGGTTGTGCTGAATCAAAAAACTAATTTTGCTATTGGAGCAATGCTTTCCTTTTTCAAGTTTTAAACCAATGTCAGTCTATAGTATAGATCACTTACAGTTAACAATTACATGAATAACTACTAATGTAAGAAATGACAGACTACCAACTCAAGATATCATATCCCTTACTCAAATAACTTTCCCTCGAGCCTTGCAGTGGGGCCTTGTTTATGGAGTCTATGTTATGTTCGTATAAAAAATAAAGGGTAAATTACATTTTCATACCTCAGGTTTGGGGTCTATTTCAATTCCTTATAACATTTTCAAAACATTTCACTTTCATACCTTAAGCACTATTTTATTTCAAAATAATACATTCGTTACATTTTCCATCCATGGATCCGTTAAGTGCTGACGTGACTGCCAAATGTGTGTCACGTGGCAAAAAAAAAAATTTTAATTTTTTTTTAAAAAACTTGAATTTTCAAAAAAAAAAAAAAAAGAAAGAAAAGAAAAAAGAAACCCATCCCCGACCCACCCCTACTCCTATCCATCATCACCCACCCCAAAATCCCACCCGAGCCACCGCTTTTCCATCCCCCATCACCCTTCCCAAAAATCTCCATCACCCACCCTCAAAAATCTCACCCGATATTAGGTGAATCTACCACAAAACCAGTCCAAAAATCATCTCAAACTCAAAATCTCCATCTTAAACTCCCCAAGATGAATCTACCACAAAACCACCCGAGATTAAGTGTGATTCAGGATCCCTGTGCAATGGAGGTGAGTCGTGGGGTCCCCGAGGGGGGGGTGTGTTGGAACCCCCAGTCCCACATCGGACAGAGGGAGAAGAGAAGAGTGCTTTAAATAGAAATACCCCTCTCTAACTAACATCGAGGCCTTTTGTGATAAAACCCCACACCTGAGGATTGTGCAGGTGGTTAAGTGGGGACAGTATCGGTGTTGTTGGAGTGGGCCCTCGGCCCGTCGACCTGAAAATTTCTACATGGTATCAGAGCCAGGAGGCGGGCCCGTACTGCCACGTGATTGGGTGGGTCCCCGTTGGCCCCGCGTGATTGTCCACGTAGGCCAAAGATGCCACGTGTTTGGGTGGGTCCCCATTGGCCCCACGTGATTGGGTGAGTCCCGACATGGCTCCACGTGGTTGCCGATGTGTGGAAATTCACGTGTGACCCATAAGTGGGGTCTCACGTGCGGGGGAGTGTTGGAACCCCCAGTCCCACATCGGACAGAGGGAGAAGAGAAGAGTGCTTTAAATAGAAATACCCCTCTCTAACTAACATCGATGCCTTTTGTGATAAAACCCCACACCTGAGGATTGTGCAGGTGGTTAAGTGGGGACAGTATCGGTGTTGTTGGAGTGGGCCCTCGGCCCGTCGACCTGAAAATTTCTACAGGGTGTCTCTCTCTTCCTCTTCTTCTTCTTCTTCTTCTTGCAGGTGGGGAACTGGATTTGGGTTTTTTTTTTTCCTCCCTCTTCCTCTTCCTTTTGCAGGTTTTTGGGTTCTTCAGGGATGTGGGTCACTGGGGGAAGGGATAATGGGGTTTTTTTTTTTTTTTCTGAGAAAATTCAGGTTTAAAAAAAATGATAAAAAATTATTTTTTTTGCCATGTGGCACACATTTGGCCGCCACGTCATCACTTAACGGATCCATAGATGAAAAATGTAAAATATGTATTATTTTGAAATAAAATAATACTTAAGGTATGAAAGTAAAATGTTTTGAAGATGTTGTAAGGAATTGAAATAGATCCCAAACCTAAGATTTGAAAGTATAATTTACCCAAAAATAAATTTACCATTTAGGGGGCGTTTGTTTGCCCTCACTAAGTTGGACTGGACTGGACTAGACTAGCTATTAGTCCAATACTGTGTTTGTTCCATGCTGGGACTAACATTAATGAGACTAAAGGGGACTAGCATGGACAAAACCCTTCACTAAGAGGTCTTAGCGAGACCCCCCAATAACCATGGGACTAGCTAAGACTATCCTCTCTTTCTCGTCCTTGTCATGCTCAATGACCACTCTCGACAGACTCCTCGTCATCTCCGGTCACCTAAATCAATCATTAACTTTCCGACTCTCTTTCAGATCCATTTCACAACCAACTTTCATACAAAATATACCAAATTGAAGCTGGGAGTGACAAGATTACGATTTTACCTGAATTGAGGCCAAAATGTGGTCGAATGTGGCTGGAAAATGGCCTGGAAGTCTCGGCCTATTTGGGCTTCTTCAAATCCATGACAGATTCGAGCATTCAAAGCTAAGATTTCGGTCCAGGGATGGTGATGAATTTTTTGGCGGTGCTAACTTCATCCAATTTAACGAGGAAATGGTAGGAAAAAATGAAGAAAAAGATAAGATCATAATAAAATATTAATAATTTATATATTAAATAATATAATATTATAATTTGTTATTATCCAACTTCTTAGTCCAATACTGCACCAAACGCTTCACTAAGTTAGTTCAGTTTAGTCTAGTCTAAGCCAGTCCAGCTTAGTCCTTGAAGCTAATCCAGTCCGAGATAGTCCGGCGCAACAAACGCCCCCTTAAGGTCTACAACTTCCAATGACAGATGTGACAGTAGCTTTCACTTCTCCCATGGTCGACTCCACAAATCTCTTTGCTATGGTTCCAAGGTTCCTTAGCTTCCCATTCACATTATTTCTGGAATTGAATAGTAACTATTTCTAGAACTAGACAAAGGTACTAGCATTATTTTGTAAATTGAACAATTACTATTTCTAGAACTGAACACGGGTACCATAACTATTTCTTAAATAGTGTGCATTTTTTTGCTGTATTTCTATCAATAATGTTTATTTTATTCACTTTCAGAAATAGTGTGGATTTTTTTTTGTTTACTTTCAAAAATAATGTGGATTATTGAGTTATTTTGGTTCAATTCCAGAAATAGTGTGAGTTATTTTGCTTTAGTTTCATAAATAGTGTGGGTTATTTTAGTGTAGTTTCATAAATAATGTTTATTTTGTTGTAGTTTCAGAAATAATGTTTATTTTGTTCACTTCAAAAAATAGGGAGTAATTTTGCTATAATTTCATAAATATTATAAGTTATTTTGGTTTAGT